GAGAATTTTATGTGGCATTCTAGTTTAACAGAGCTGTAATGGAGCAAATTTTGATGCAAGCAAAGTATAGCTAAGTTGATGATATTTCAACTGTTTGGCGATACATTTCCGTTAAAAAAAAGTGGGTATAATGGATGAAATAATTTAAATTAAGAAAATTAGTAAATAATTTAAATTAGTGAAATTAAAAAAATTATCAAAGAAAAATTTCCAGCTTTTCTTTAAAATTCCCTGATTTTTCCAGGTTTTTATCCAAATTTCCCTGATATTTCCAGGTTTTTTCCAGTAAAAAAAAATTCCCTGATAATTCCAGGTTTTCAAGGTTTTCCAGGTGGGTGGCCACCCTGAATATAATACAGGGCTTCCAACATTCTATGCTTTTCGGGATAATTTCTTCTGATGGTAGCTAAGTTTATGTTTTAGTGTATGATTCTTTGTTTCTTAAACTTGATTTCAAATTATTTTCCTCGCCACTCTACATGTAAATGTTAAACATGTGGATTTCATAAGTTTATATGAATGGATTTCACTCATATAAACTTATATGAGTGGATTTCATAAGTTTATATGAAATCCACTTTGTTCCAGCTCTCTTGAGGTGAGGCCTTTAAGATGTTGGCAAAATTACCATAAATTTGAAAGCTTTGGTTTTTTTAACTGCCTATCACTCTATAGAACAGGGGTGGCCAAGCTCCTTGATAGTCAAGTCATTTTTCCAAATGTGAAATTTTTCGCGAGCGGCAATTAAATATGTATTTAAAAGGTATGCAAAAAAAGGTATTAAAAAATATTTTTTTTAACAGAAATTTTATTTATTGAAAACATATAAATAATGTTAGAAAATATGAGTATTGAATATAAATATTAAAAATTAAACACATTTATTTTACTTCCCTTGATAATTCTTTTAAATTTGGTGAATAATTGGTGACAGCACTTCTCAGTAATTCTTTGAGATGCTGGTTAGTTAATACTGGTCAGTGTTTGGATTTCACGAATTTTAAAGTGGAATAAAATTATTCACATAAGTAAATCATTTAAATAATGGTATAAAATGATTCACATTCGCGCAGTTTTCAATGAGTCATAACATTCTTAACTTAGACGGAAATGAAATTTGTTACAACATTGCACTTAGTCTCTCATATTTGTTGTCAGTAATTTAAAAGACATTTTGAAACACATACGGTACGATAATAATTTTTTAAAATATAATAGCACAAAAATGAAAAGGGAACTTAAGTGCATTTATTGAGAGCCACTAATAATCCTTCAAAGAGTCGCATGTGGCTCACGAGCCGCAGGTTCCCCCCCCCCCTCCTGTTNCCCCCCCCCTGTTATCAAATATTTTGAATGAAACGTAGTTGTTGTTGGCAGCCTTGTATAACATACCTCCATCTTTCAAGGGAACTGAGAAGTTACATATGGGCAGAAAATATGAGAATTCTTAAAATGGTGAAAATAATGTATATCCAAAACTTTATATTTTATAAAGGAAGTACATAATTGTTTCAAAGCTTTTAAATGAACCAGGAATATGATGAAACAACACATAAAGTGTAAAGCTCATAAATAAGAAAGGCAATAAGAAAGCTTTATTGTAATTCTCATTCACATGAACTTTATAAAACGAAATTGCAAAAAAATTGTTCAGCATTTTATCAACTGAAGTTAAGAATTCCCCTTAAAATGTATTATAAATAGTCATTCTAGAATTATAATAATTATTTTGCTTTCTTAACCAAATATCAAAGTACATAAAAAAAATAACCATTTAGTATAACAGAAGGGAAAAAAAATATTGATTTAGATGTTTTCGTGAGGTTTAAAATTTCAAGGATATGGAAATAAATGCTTATAATCATTCCATACATGGAGATTTTTTGTTAACAGGTAAAATTAAATACAATTAAATAAAAATTACAAACTAGATGCACTATGAGAAAAACAAAATAGAATTCCAAGTTATGCACAATAATATACTTATTTATTAATTAATATAATAGTAGAAATTTTCTAGACAATACATTTATTTTATTCAATAATGTTTTTTTTTTTTTTTTTTTTTTTTTTTTTTTTAAATACCAATTGTAAAGTTTCATTCCAGAAACTACATAATTATTTTATTTTCTTATGCAAATATTATCCATAGAACAAATATTCCTTCAATTTCAGCACTAACTAGTTTTTCATTAAGGTTAAGAAAAAAATAGTAAATAATCAAGTAGAATGTTGGTTAACACTATGCAATCATGCATAACACTGAGAGGCCTATAGTGGACACAATTAAAAAAAAAATTCAAGTATTCCTTTTTTTTAATTGTTTGTTGCTTTTCCCAGCAACTTTACTTCATTAAAATAAAACAACTTTTTACGACGTTCAATTCACCAAAAGAGAAACTGACTATATTCAAACTAATTTAAAATATTAACTTATTAGACATAAAAAAATTATACCATTGATCGCATCTAAAACTTTATATTCAAGACTTAAATCACAGTCGAGCAATTTTCCCGATGCATTGTTATTTTAGTATATAACTTCTCTTATTTTATTTTACTCTACATTATTAGGTTTATGAAAACACATTTCAAAGAACTATCTATTAATAAAATAATGTTTAGTATTAAAATACTAACATATTTCATACAAAATACATAAATATTCCAGTATTCCAAGTCAATCATAATAATACAAAATAAATATTTATTAAATGATGAAATAGCAGTTTTTAAACAAAACATCTGCTAAATTCAGGAATGCTAATAAAATATTCATAGTAAATTTCTCATTCTAGAAATCCAGCAAATAAAATAAAAACTTCACTACAGTTATCAAAGTTCTAATATCCCTTTTAATTTAAAGTAAAAAATTTGATTTAGATATTAATCTGACTTTTGAATTAAATTCAAAATTCGAAGAATATGAATAGACTGCTCATTAACAGATACAAGTTATATTAAAGATATAAATATTTATTAAATATATAAATATTTATNAAAAATTACAAACTAGATGCACTATGAGAAAAACAAAATAGAATTCCAAATTATGCACAATAATATTATTTATTTAATAATATAATAGTAGAAATTTTCTAGACAATATATTTATTTTATTCAATGATGTTTTTTTTTTAAAAAAATACTAATTGTAAAGTTTCATTCTAGAAACTACATAATTATTTTATTTTCTTATGCAAATATTATCCATAGAAAAAATATTCCTTCAATTTCAGCACAAACTAGTTTTTCATTAAGGTTAAGAAAAAAATAGTAAATAATCAATTAGAATGTTGGTTAACACTACGCAATCATGCATAACGCTGAGAGGCCTATAGTGACACAATTAAAAAAAATTTCAAGTATTCTTTTTCTCTTAATTGTTTGTTGCTTTTCCCAGAAACTTTACTTCATTAAAATAAAACAACTTGTTAAGACTTTCAATTCACCAAAAGAGAAACTGACTATATTCAAACTAATTTAAAATATTAACTTATTAGACATAAAAAAAATTATACTATTGATCGCATCTAAAACTTCATATTCAAGACTTAAATCAAAGTCGAGCAATTTTCCCGATGCATTGTTATTTTAGTACATAATTTCTCTTATTTTATTTTATTCGACATTATTAGGTTTATGAAAACACATTTCAAAGGTGTATCTATAAATAAAATAATGTTTAGTATCAAAATAATACAAAATAAATATTTATTAAATGATGACATAGCAGTTTTTAAAGAAAACATCTGCTAAATTCAGAAATGCTAATAAAATATTCATTGTAAATTTCTCATTCTAGAAATCTATCAAATATATAAAAACTTCACTACAGTTATCAAAGTTCTAATATACTTTTTAATTTAAAGTAAAAAATTTGATTTAGATACTAATCTGACTTTTGAGTTAAATTCAAAATTGAAAGAATATGAGTAGTTATTGCATCAAATTCAAAATATAAATAGACTGCTCATAAACAGGCACAAGTTATTAAACATATAAATATTTATTAAACAATAAAATTGCATAAATTTTCCAGTATATTTATCTAGAAATTAAAAAAATATATATATTATCAAAAATGCCTTGTAAAATTTCTCCCCCCCCAAAAAAACTTATAATTAGTTTGCCCATTATAGCTTATTTCAGCATTAAAGACAACAAAAAAATCTAAGAAATACCAAAATGAAGAGTTACCAAATGAAGAGTAGCTGCAAATCGATCTGCAATCTAAATTTTGAGATTGTTTCAAGACAACTCTTAGAGTCTGGCAAACCTGATAAAGATCATCTTCTTCACTGGTTTCCTGTGCTAATGATGATGAAGTTCGAGAAAGCTCTTCTGATTCTGTTTCAGAATTCTGAAATAGAAAGTAACATAATAAATTCATAAAAATGTGAAAGCTTATTGTATTTTTTTAACTTGAAAGATAATTCATAAATATTCCATAATAATAAATTCATAAATGTTTCCCTTTTATTTAACTATTTAACAGCGACTAAATGAAAATACTTAACTGTCAAATACTAAATCGCATAATAAAAATACATATTCTTTTCATTATTATAAAGGATACAATCTCTACAAATTTAAATTTTATTAATGATATTGGTATATTGACTAATGCTTAAAGTATGCTTTTAAATGTTTCATTTATATAGGTAAGCTTAAAAATAAAAGATTTCTTCCAAAAAAAAAAAATGTTTTTTGAATAATTTGAATCTTATAAATGCAAATAACCAACAACATTTACGGAAATTTAAATTCTCACTATATATAAAAGGACATTTTCAAAACAGTGTTTTCAGAATCAATATTTACAGTAAAGTTTTTGATAATGTTCTCAGTAGGTAAAATTTTCTTTATACAGAAAGTTTATTTTCCTTTGTTAAAAATCATTAATCGATATTCAAATATCTGAAAGATTTCCTAAAAACGATCAATTAAGCAAATATCTTACACTGAAAATTATTCTTATCGATATTCTGTTTTGAAATATCATAATGAAATATTCCTGAGTTAATAAAATAACGTATCTAAATTTTAAATACACTATAACAATTGAATTAATTATATATAAAATTTTGAAAATATATATTTCTAATTGACTTTCTACAGTTACTTGATTAAAAATTTCCTTCACTTCAAAAATATACAAATTAGAAACAACAGTCAACATGTTTCAATCTCTCAAAAATAGATGCCCACTTTTGAATGCTTGAAACATATCGACTGCTATTTCCAATTTGTATATTTTTGTAGAAAATGAAGCTCTTACACAAATAATACCTTACCGATTCAGTTTCTTGGGATAATTTTTTTAATCCATCTAACAATTATCAAACTCACAATTATCAATCTTCAGAAACCAACTAGGATACATACCAATGACCAAATAATTAAACATTATTAACACCTTAACTTGTGCCCTCGACTTAATTCGAGCACACTAAACAGGAATTAGAATGTAGAACGCCTTATCTTAACAATTTGTTCTTGTGGAATATAACATTTCTTTCAATTTTTTTTTGTGGGATATCTATTCCATTGAGGAACGAAGAAAGTTGGTTGCGCTCAGCATAAGGGGTTAATTAAACGTCCTTACTTAATAAACATCTTCTAATTAAAAAAGTATTGGTTATCAGTAAAAAAATGGCCAAATAAAAACAATAATGGAAAATTGAATAGATAAGCTATAAGAACTTACAAAATGGTTTGGGCTTAAAGAAGATGATGGATACAATTTTCCTCTTTTGAAAGGCACTTTTAAATCCTCATGATGTATAGATAAATCAGGAAGGGAAGGGCATTTACTGTTCAAGGCATCTTTATTTGCAATATTCCTTAGAAGGGAAGTTTCAATATTTGCATCAGAGGAGTTTCTTAAGAGCAAACATTCATCGGAATATAGTCCCAAGTTACACTGAATGCCTATTTCAGCTAGGCTTGTTTTTAAATTGCTGCAAGAAAATTTTTCTTCCCTGTCCTTCAAATTTGAAATAGAATTAGCAACTGATTTCTCATTCTTAATCGAATTTTCTTTATTGTCATTCAAGTCTATTGTACAATTAGTGATTGATTCTTTATTAGTCAAATTTCCTTCAGTTTCATTCAAGTCTAATGAAGAATTAACAACTGATTCGTTATTAGTCAAATTTCCTTCAATTTCATTCAAGTCTATTGCAAAATTACTGACTGATTCTTTATTAGTCAAATTTCCTTCAGTTTCATTCAAGTCTAATGTAGAATTAATGCCTGATTCTTTATTAGTCAAATTTCCTTCAGTTTCATTCAAGTCTAATGTAGAATTAATGACTGATTTCTCATTCTCATTTTCCCATTTAAAAACTTCAGAAATACTCTTACATTCCGACTTTTCTTCAGACAGAGTGGGTAAATGAAACAAGCCATATGAAGCAACATCACTATTACGTCTAAGCAAATATGTTTTATTTCTGATATTATTTTTTGTTTCTAAATCATCATCAATCATCATTGGTAAGTGAAAACGATCTTTATACTGTTGTGCATCAGAATTCTGATTGATGTCTGATTTTAAATTGCTAACTTTACCACGGGAAATCAATGGTAAGATAACATCTCCTTCTTCCAAATTCAAAGTTACTGAAGGAGAGAAATCAGAATCACATCTGTTCACTTTGAAAGTCTTATTGCAATAAACGCCAGATTTTAAATCAAAGTCCCCATTTTCCAAATAATTTTTTCTTCCAGCAATGTTTTTATTTGAAACTTGGAGTTCATTTTTTGAAATCAGATTAATAGACATAATATCAGCTTCAGAGTTCGTAATCTCATTTTTTTTTACAGTTAAATTTTTTTCAGTAGGTTCGCATTTACTCTCTTCATTATCATTACACAAATCATGATTGGAATCCTGCTTATGATAAATGACAGGGCACATATAACTTGAAGTTATACCAGCTGGGTCTTTTGATTTAATTCTCGTTCGACCAACATGAGGTGCAGAGTGAGGTCGATTACGATACATAACTTTATTAGAAGCTGAAAAGTCTTTTGAAGCTGTAACTTCTAGTGGCAAGTTTTTTAAAAAGTCAACTTCACACTTTGACCATTTAGATCTCTTTTTAGGACTGGGAGATTGTTGACTAAAAAGTATATTATCAGAAATATCAGGGAGATTTACTTCACATACAGTTTTTTGCAAGCTATCATCAAAACAGTTATCTGCAGATAAAACAGTTTCAATGATTGTTGAATTTTGGAATGAAATTTCAGAGTGAACTTCAGAAGCATCCGTTTCTAAATAGGTTGAACTGTTTTGTGATGGCAACAAAGGAAAGTTTAACTTGTGAGATTTCTCACAGAACTCAATAGATGAAAGCTCAATAATAGATTTATTTGCATCAGATATCTCTTGATTTAACTTGGTATCTTCATGATTTGGTACTTTATTGGGTAATAGATTATTTAATATTGAATCAGCATTGTTTTCAGTTTGTTTATGAGATAATTTATGTTTTGTCAAATTTGCAAGAGTTTTGGCATGTTTAAACATGTTAGTATTATGGCTGTCAACCTGCTTTTCTTTGCCAGCAGACTTTTTGATTTGCTTTGAAGGTTTTCTTTTAGCCAAAGAAATACCATACTTTGCTGCTGGATCAGTAAACTTCATTTTATCAAGTTTAGATTGAGCTGTAGGTGAAGAGAATGGAATTTTTGTGCTTTTTGATTTTTTAAATTCCTCTCTCATTTTTGACTCATTAAGAAATTTGCCAATTCGATTTACAATGAACTGCTTCCTTAAAATAGCATTTACAGAGGGGCGTGTATGAGGATTTCTATTAAATATTTGTTCCATCAAGTTCTTGAGTTCAGAGCTATAAATGTCAGGTATCTGAGGGAGAGAACCTTTAATAATTTTCAGAATAAGACTTTTAATATTTTTTGCTTGAAAAGCATGTTTTAAAGTGGTTAATTCATACAACACACATCCCAATGACCATATATCTGATTTATTATTATAAGGACGATTTTCACAGATTTCTGGAGACAGGTAATATGGAGTACCTATGCAAGTCTGTGCTAATTCAAAAGTGTTGTTTAAAACACGAGCAATTCCAAAGTCTCCTAGCTTTGCTATGCCAGATTTTGTCAAAAAAATGTTTTGTGTTTTAATGTCTCGATGCAAAATTTTTTGATCATGCACATGCTTTACTGCCAGGCATACCTGTACAAACCAGTCAAGAATTTGATCTTCGGGAAAAAATACCCCATTTCGAGCTCTAATTGTGGAGTACAAGTCACCGCCATCACAGTAATCTGTTACTATATACAAGTTATTATTTTCTTCAAATGATTTATGATACGTAATAATGTTAGGATGTTTCATCTTTGATAACACTTCAACTTCTTTTAAAGCCAATGCTTTTTCATTTTCACTCAGATTTGATAAAGAAATTTTTTTAATTACATAATACTTTTTGGATACAATATCTTCAACTAAGAAAGCAGAACCAAATGAGCCTTCACCTAAAGTTTTAATAATTTTGAAATCTTCCATATTCAGAATCAACTATGTCCAAATTAATCCACATTCTAAAAATAAAAAATATATATTCTGTTATCCAATATTTAATACAATATCAAAATACTGAATTGACAACAATGTGAAATAATCATACTTTGTTCTTAATTTGACAGGTAGAGATAATGTAAATTTATGCTAATTGCTATATACCAGTGGTTTCCAGCTGGTGGCCCGGGGGCCACATCCGGCCTGCGAAGCTTTTTTTTTGTGGCCAGCGAACTAAAATATATATTAATTGTCATTTTTTTGCGCACATAATGATCGTTTTTTTTTGCAGACAAAAATGATAGTGTATGTTGCTCTTTTTCATTTCATTTTTTCGTATTTTGTGAATATAATTTAGCATGCTAGTATCAGAAATTTTCTCGAAGAAATTCTCCGATTTAACTTTTTGGAGCCACTCATTTTGGAGGAAAATATTTACACACACATTTGTAAATTTTAAATGTAAATACCTATTCTCTGGTGGTTGCATCAGACAAACTTCAATTTTCTCATTGAACATTTTGTGTGCTACTAAGTAAGTTTTAATACCAACCTTTTTAAAGATTTTTATCTTAACAGTTAGATATCTGTTGCACATTAATTGTTTAATACATAGGTACACATTAAAGTTATTGTAGCCCGAATTTTTTAATATGCAATTAAATATTTTTAAAAATCTACTTCTTATTTTAATTTGTAATTCAATGCTTTTGTTTTCATCGTTTGTCTTTGTTTCAAATCTGACAGTAATATTTAATGTTCCTTCAAACAAAAAAAAGAGTCCTACATAAAATTTTGATAAAGTTGTGGCCCGCCATCGATTTTTGTTTTTAATTGTGGCCCCCGGCCTCATTTAAGTTGGAAACCCCTGCTATATACTATGCTAATAACTATACACTAATACTAATATAAACAGAAATTATTCCAAGGCTGCATTATCAGGGCTCAAAAATTGAGAATTGATCTTGATTGATTTCATCAAGCGGAAAAAAAGGTTAAATAACTTTTTATGTACCTAAGTTCTAAAATCCAGATAATTCTTCACAGCAAAATGGTATATATATTTTAAAATTATGATTTTGCATCAAGTGTAAGGCACCTCAACAATGGATTTTTTTTGGCTAAGAAAAACACTGTTAATGAAAATGTATAACAGCTATTTTAATAAGAATTAAATGTAAATTTTAAAACCAATATTCAAAAGCATTTAGGCATGTTTTTTAAATAAATATAACTGTAAAATAATTGTATTTGTCCCTTATATTATAAATGAGATTCTTTTCTTTAAGTTTACAACTTTTGAATTACTAAAAATCTGAAAACCAGTTACTAAAAACTTGTTTTATCTACTGAAGATAATATACATCTTTCTTACATTAATAACTTAGATATATATTTTTTTAATTTAAATAGAGCTATATTTTTAATCCTATTTTTTAAAGTTTGATTTTAATTAGTAATTTTTAATGCAATTATACATAAGTTTGTATTTAAAAATAAGATAGTGCTTAGAAATGAGTTTCATACACATTAAAATAACTTTTAAACTGACATGGACAATAGTATTGTATTTATAACAAAGCATTTGAATAAATTTTTCGACAAAAATGCAATGTTCACTTAAAACAAAACAAAAACTTATTTTCCTTTAAATCATTATAACACAGTTTAAATGGAATATTTTCATATAGAGATCAACGAAAAAAATAATCGCCAAGTATTCCAAGTAGTGGCCCAAGAGAAACTAAAAAACACAGAAGGGGACCAACTCGAAGGGTAAAACTCATCGGCTGTATATGTTTTTATTTTTTAAAAATTTGCAAGCTTTAAATCCATTAAGCTCCTATGCGATTGTAATTGACACAACAAATCATGATACGGAAATAAACCATGATACAAAGTGACGTGACATTCTGAAAAAGCTCAAAATGTATAGTTTATATTCAGAGCTTAGTGAAAGAATGTGTCAAGTGACATTCTGAAAATGTTTAGCTTATATCACAACTTAGAGGAAGAATGTGTCAAGTGACATTCTGAAAATGTTTAGCTTACTTAAAACTTAGAGGAAAAATATGTCAAGTGACATTCCGAAAAAGCTCCGAATATTTAGTTTAGAAGCATGTCATGGTCAGCTACAAATATAAAACGTTATTTTTCCTCAACCAGTCATTAAAAATAATCGGTTTTTAATAGAAAATTATGATTCATTAGCTACTTCTTGGTGTTTAAGTTGATGTTTATAAATTCACTCGAGTGTCACTTATCACTTTCCCCCCTTAAACTCTTTAAATAACAAACTTAAAATAGTTAAGACTTGCTGCGATTTTCAAAACAAATATTACCGGTGAATATACAGACAGAGAATTGTTCTTCATTATTGTTATTATTTTTTGGTAATATTAATCAGGAATCATTTTCATAAACAATTTATACAGCTTAACTTCAAGTAAAAAAATCAAAATTTTTTATTTTGTTTACCATGGCAACATTTTGTTTATTTCTATTTCATGCGTCGCTAGTTGCCTATTTCTTCGTTACTAAATATGCATTTAAAATTTTCGTCATACTGTGCTAAAGATTATTAAGTTGTAGAAAATTCTTTTAATCTAAACACCTAAGATCGAATTCTTCAGCTTATATCTTAATTACTGTACTTTAATTAATAAATCTTTAATTAAGAAAAATATTCACTAACTTTAACTATAACCTTTACATAAATGTTTACTAACACGAAGATCGATGTTCGGCGCGAATTTTAGTGATATTGGTATACTTATATCAAATTAATATCTCAATATTAAAGCTAAGAAAATGTCATCTGATGAATGGATCGGAAAGAAAATTTCGGATGTTTATCTTTCTCAAGAACCTGCTTTAGTTCCTAAACAAACTAAACGGAAGACAGAAAATTATTTCGAAGAAGTTTTACAAAGAGCCGGATACGTTACAGGAGAGAAGAACAATGCTAATGAACTAAATGTGGATCAAGCTGTTTTTCTTCGGGATTTGGCGAAGTTGTTATCTGGAAAAGCAAACAACGAAATAAATAAGTTCTTCAATGGATTAGAAAGCCATTTGGAAGATGAAATTCGTTTTAAATGGAGTCTTATGCCTACAGTTACAGCGGCCTCCTGCGAAACTGCCAGAAATGCATCCCAAGACAGTTTGATTCATTTACTATTAAGTGTGGAAAAGATTCAAGAGAAAGTTATCAATATAATGTTAGATAAGCTTGTTGAGTTTTCTTATACAGAAAACACTGCTTTGTATGATCGCACAGAAAACAAAACAGTTGCGTGTCTAATAATATCTCAATTTCGTTGGCTTAACAAGCTAGTTAACAGCGAAGCCTTGGCTGATAAACTTCTTGAGTTGATTGAAGGCACTCCAACTGATATTCAACGAGACATTATCAGACTTTTACCAGACGTTATTAATGAATTTGATCACCCAAAAGTTGCAAAAAGCCTTGGAGAATTCCTGCTCGGCAACCAGGAATTGAATGTGATAATATTGGATACTTTAACAAATTTGAACATCAAATCTGAATTGTTATCAGAGATAAGACAGAAAGTCATTGAAACAATTTCGACCGCAAATATTGAAGACCTGCCTGTCATTGTGAAATTTGTTTTGCAAGATTTAACCATAGCTGAAGCCCCTCAAGTCATTCGAGAACTGCAGAGCAAACTTGATTTTAATTCAACTTTTAATCCTATCATATCATCAACCCCTATTAATCCCAAAAATGGGGAAATATCAAAAAGCATTGAAAGCTGTGTGTTAACCACAATCAAACACTCATTAAAATTTCAAAAAACACTCTGTGATGCATGGGTTAAATACCTTGAGCTATTGGAAGGTCCAAATAATCACAAAGCCTTGGATATTTTTGTTATATTAATATTTTTGTCTCTGGAAATAAATGAAAGGAAGTTAGAAAGTCTTCTAAAAAACAAAGTTAAAGCTGGTGACATTAATGAAGATTTATTACAAGCAACATTTAGAGGTCATCATGATGTTCTTCAAGAGTATGCAAAAGAACTGCTTAAAATTGCTGAATTGCTACTGAGGGCGTTTGAACCAGTGATTTCGTCATTTGCTTGCTGTGTATATATGAACTGTTTTGTGTGGTTTGACTCCTTTTATAAACAAGAGGTTATAGGTAATCTAATTACTCATGTGGGAAACAAATCAGAAAGCGAGGTGAACTCTGCCCTGAATACTTTGTTGACTTTAATCAGAAATCACACTCAAAAAATGGTGCCATATGGTTTATTCATAAAAAACTTACTTGACCATCTTGGAGAGTTGACCTTAAATCAAATTCGCAAGGTCCATGAAATGTTGAGTATTTTAGCATATCAGGGAGGCCGAGAAGGTGCCATGCTTTTGGATGATTTGTTGATAATAATTCGTAAACAGTTATCTAATAAGAATGTAAAATATCGCAAAATGGGTGTAATAGGAGCATTAATGTCTGCAAAAATTGCTGCTGAAAAGGAGAATGAAGAGCAAGAACCTGATGTATCTATTAATTCTGATGCTCTTGAATTCGAAGAATGTTTTCAGCATTCAGTCAAGTTACTCGAATTGGTTGCAGCCAGCACATCCGAATCGAATGAGGCTTACGCATTATTTTGTGATGAACTTTCTCACATTATGATTGAGAAGAAATTTGGTAAATCTATCTTAGAATGGATAGGTGAGAATGTCCTCTCAGATTTTGAGGAGACTTTTATAATAGACATTGATCCAAGTGAATATGAAGGAAAGAACATTGGTCCAAAGTTTGGTCTTGATGAAGTTAAAGAACCTGTGGCTGTTGATTTGTATAATATTGTTAAGAAAGAGACAGTTGGCTCTGAAAGTAAATCTTCAAAATTTAAACTAAATTCTTCATCTAACTGCAGCAAAGATAAAGGTAATTTTAACCAAAGTAAAGTATTAAAGACACTTTTAAAAATTTCTTCGGTTGAAAGTACAAGTTCAGGATCAGCTAATACGGCAGTTGCATCTCCTCTCAAGTTGGCTCCTATGTTTAGATTGCTAAGGATGTTTAGAGAAGTGCAAGATGGTAATCTTGAGCAAATTGATGCACTTTTAGGATGCTCAATTATGTTGCCAGATTTGAGAATACAAAAGTTTTCAGTATTGTCAACTGCAGAAAAACACTTGCTTTTGAACACTCTATTCTATTGTATTAATTGGGTGAGAGAAAATATCAATGCTTTTGCTACTACAACCGATGTTGATATCAGATGTAATGTGTTGACCAGATTACAGCTTTTGATTGGAATGGAGAATTTAGTTTGCAAATATTTAGCTGAGTGCAATGGCTATTCACCTCCAGTAGCAAATTTTGATTTTGAAGAAACTCATCTAACCTTAAAGTTGCCTAATAAGAAAGGTGTGAAAAGAAGTGGCAAAGGTAAAAAAGGCAAGAACAAAAAATCTAAGAAAGATGAATCCACAGACCAAACTACATTAGAAAATCAAGATACCTCCCTTAAATCAAAATCATCTGATTCAGAGTCGGAAGAAGAGATTAAATCAAATTTGGATTTGGAATTGAAAATCAGTAAAAGCTTACAGCCTTTTTTCCGAGAACTCGACATTGATGTGTTTACTCTTTTGCAGTCAGATATAACTTTTCAAAAGCGACCAGACGTATTTTTGAACGAGAAGGTAACGTCCACTGATTTACATCCTGATGAACTTAAATTTTTATTAGAAGATTTAAGTTCTAAACTTCATCATTGTTTTGATTCCTCAACCAGCCCTTTAAAAGGATTTCATAGTAAACAAGCAGGTTTTTCGAATCTTGAATCCTTTACTGTAATCAGTGTGATGTCTTTTTGCATTGACCTTATACCATCTTTGTGTAACACTGTAGAGGAGATTCTTAAATACTTTAAAACATTGGCTGTAAATTCTGACGGTGTGGAAGATTCTTTATTATTCTATAATAATGAATCACATCGTAATATCGAATGCCTTCACCTGATATTAAAAGTCTTGACTCAAATAATGTCCTGCAAGGTTTTAAATTTAAAAACTAACTCCTCTCTTTTGAAAAAAGCTCTAGCATCATTCACACCTGAGCGTAATGTACCTGATCACTTTTCTTATGATGATTTAATCAGAGCATCTACTTCTCATTTATGTTTGTTTGCAGAGTCAATTCCATCTTTATCTTGTGCATCCAGTCTAACCCACTTATTATCTTGCATCCTGTATTTCGGATCTGACTCCGAGCCGAAAGAAAAAGTCTCCAAGTTGTCTCTGAAATTTTTGAAGAAAAAGTGGTTTGAAATTGAATCCAAAAGCGTAAAACCTTCGGAAATCAACAGCAATGTCAAAATTATTCTGGAATCATATTTGCGAAATTCTAAGTCTGCTTTGAAGGCATTAGAGTATTTGTCGGTTGATGCCATTCCACAACTTCTAAAAGATGATGTTAAGGATAATCTTTTTTATACATTGAACAAGTCTTCCTTAAATTGCTATTACAAAATAATGTTCACTTCTTTAATGAGCTATGTCAAATCTTACTTCTCAGAGAAACACGGCAATGATGAACAGATGAATGAATGGATCATCATACTCAGGGTGTTTCAGGTGCTTACCAATTTACTTAAGTGTTTTGGATCAAGAACCAATATAGGTACCTGTTTGAAATTCAGTCGAGAAATTCTTCAAACTTTCCTGAGATATGGAATGCCACTGATGGACAAATTATTTGTGAATAAAAAGGAAGAAGTTATATGCTTGATGAAAACACTGCAAGCAAGTACCAGATACTTGCAACATGTGTGTTGCCATTCTAAAGTCCTTAAAGATGTTTCATTAATCAAACAAGTACCTTTTCTAAAAAAAAGCTTAGAAGTGTTTGTTTTCCGGGTAAAAGTGATGCTGGCTGTGAATAAATGTGAAGAGGCTTTCTGGCTTGGAAATTTGAAAAATAGGGACCTTAAAGGAGAGGAGATTCTATCACAAGCTATGCAAGATTCCAATAATGATTCTGATCTTGAGGACAATGATCAAGCTAATAAAAGTGACTCTGATGTAACTAATGTGGAATCTGAAGAAGATACTTTATAATTTAATTTGAAATTTATCAAATAGATGCAGTTTGTAGATTTTAAAGAAAATGTTAAATTTTATATATCTTACATAAAAGTTAAAATTTAATAATTATGGTTTTATGAAAATTATCTATAAATATTTTGTTATGATTAAAAATATCAATATAAAAAAGATTCTTTGTATTATTTTAAGTGAGGTAGTTTCATTTGGTGTTTCATAGGAAATGTTTAAATAGTAACTTCAGGGTTTAGCTTCTGAACCTCATTAACAATGCCATCACAGTAAAAACAAAATCACTCTGAAAAACTTTAGCTTTAGCAAACAATTTTACAAACTAAGTACCAATTTAAATAATTTAAGCACGCTAATTATTTAGCTGGGGCTGCTTTCTAAAAAAAAAAAATGTGATTCTTCCGCGGATTTTCGCTTTTTTTTCTCGCAGAAATTTTTTTTTGAACAAGTTGAAATATTTTAAGAGGAATTTATTTTTCCGCGCAGCAAAAGTATTGAAGTCCTCATTCCTCCCCTGGAAGTTTCTCTAAAAATCATTTCCTTGGGATAGAAATGGTTGATCTTTTTACAGGGATGAGATTTTTTCGCTTATGCGTCTCAAATTTCAGCCTTTTTATCAAAACTTCCAATTCTCTGAAAGTTTATTTTTTCTTAAATAAAAATTCCGTTTTTTTTGTTGAAATTTTAGTCGTTGAAATGAAATAATTATATTTTTTTTACAATTTGCAGAGATAAACAGAAAATTCAAATTACATCCTAGCTGCTAACCCTTCTGTCTTTTTACTTATTTTAGCTATTTTCTCTTTCATGCACAGAAAATAAGATTTTCGTGTTTTTTATTCATCCGCTGGATAGCTCGTATTTTCGCAATTCAAAATCCAATATCGTGATTTGTATTTGCGCGCTTTTAAAACCCTATGTTGCAATTCCTATTCACGCAAGTTTAATATGCAATATCGTGATTCGTTTTTGCGGTTTCTATCTATGATAAACATCTATTTTAGTATTTATACATGCTTTAAAAATTAGGCATTGTGATTTGTATTCTCGGGATTTAAAAATTATGCATCGTGATTCGTATTTACGTGATCTAAAAATTATGTATCATGATTTGTATTTTCGCATTTTTTAAAATTCAATAGTTTCATATTCATGTAAATTAAAAGCCTAATATCGGGATTCATATTCTCTCAATTTAAAATCATGCATGTGATTCATATTCATACAATTTTATAATTAATCATCGGGATTTATAATCACATGGTTTACAAGTTTAAAAATCAAATTTATGTGTGTCTGTGTATATATATTCTTTCTTGGATTTCCTCTTTTTTACTTTGATTACTCTCATCCCTGAGTTTAACTTAGAACTATTTTTAATCAATTTTCAATCTTAGTTATAGAATCATATGTAAAAGTAGGAGTTCTGCAAGTTAAAAAAAATTTGCTCTCAAAACAGAACTTATTGTCATCTCTGAATTAGAGTAGAAAATATTTTAAGTTTCAAAGTCAGACATAAAGATGTATTTTTTTCTCAGTAAACATAAGTTTTTTCGACGAATGTTGAGATCTAAGGTTTGTAGTTGTCCCGATCAAAAATAATCTGTTCTTGATTTTTTACTGTTATGTCTTAATATTCCTGATTTTTTTCTTTGTTCAGAACATATTTCAGAAAACTATATTAAAATAATCATTTGGATTTTTTTTTTTTAAATTTTCACTAGAAAAAAAATAAACATTTATCAATGTCAAAACTAGTATGTTATTCAAAAAATGATATTTGTAACTCATTTCAAATAAAAAAAGAACATGGAAACAGAACTTCCTTATTGTCCCCTGTTTTTTAAAAGAATGAATTATTGTTGATTCAGTATTGGAAATTTTTTTTTTCTTAATTTAAACTCTCACCCTTTTTACAGGATTCTTTTCTATTTTTGTCATTTTTACACCCCTTGTCTAAATCAATAAATCTAACTAGATCATCAATGAAAATCACGATTAAGTCAAATCATATAAGTTTTGTGCATCATCATTATAGTTGGCCAGACAGCCCAATTCTTTCCTATGAAGATTTCTACATAATGACTTCCGATTTATCTTTGACCTCCAATTCTTTTCATTAACTGCAAGAAAATCAGAGTCGGCCCATCTCAACCGCGGCCTTCCCCGCTTTCTTGTTCCAGTGGGTTTAAAAAGCAGTATCTTTTTTATTGTGTTGTCATCACTCATTCGAATCACGTGGGCCATCCAATTCATTCTATTTATTTTTATGTTTTTAATAATATCAGGTTGTTTAAAAATCTTGTANGGTTGGGCATAGGGTTGACACCTCTATCCTGTAGAAACTTCTTGTCCCGAAATCCTAAGTTCAGTGCACAATTTCATATTGTTCAATACTCATGTATTTTGTTGTTTTTATTCAACCCCATACGAATAACTTGTACTCAGCTAGTAAATTTATATAATAATTATTCTAACTTTGGTATCTGGTGTTTTGCAGTAAAAACATTCCAAGATAACTTGAAAAATGTGACTTTGTATACTGTCCCAAAGATGTTCAATGACATTGATCTGTGTGATGGTCTTTGAAAGCATAAGAATGTAGAAAACTTGTTAGATTGCAAAGACACTTTAATAAATAAATGTCAAAAAATAATAAATACACCCTGCTAAAATCAGCAGAGGTTAACACAACTTAGAATGATGCTTACACTTATTTCTCAGCATCTGGTATACATGTTAAACATGCTGATTACTTTACAGAACTTGAAGCATGCAAACACAAATAAAGAAATTATTTTTAAAGTCAAGTGTTTCTCTCACTTTTACAAAAATAGACAATCTTGTTGAGTAAAAATCAATGACTCGCATCTTCTGATGACTAGAATAAAGTATAAAAAATATATATATTCTCCAAATAGCATATTAATTCCAAACAGTCTCCACTTTGTTTTCTGGCCATTCACTCTTCTCTTTATCCATAACCACTTCAATGATTGGAAGCTGATCAGATTTCACTTCTTCAATTTCTGTGGCAGTATCTACTTCTTTCACAACAGGCTTTTCATCAAAGGTAACTGAAATTTCAAAATTAAACATTGTAAAAATTTTAATGTGCCCTGAGGCAGAATTTCTTCAAACTATCTCTTTAGCTTTAATATCTTTCTGCAAGATACTTTTAATAACTAAAATATATTTTACTAAGTTAAAATAACAAAAGCGCTGTGTTTACAAAGAAAAAACTATTTTTTTAATTGAACACATAACAGGGTGTGTAGTCTAATCTTTCAACAAAAAATAAGCACGTTTTGAGTACTTTTTAAGCACTCAAAAAATATTTTTAAGCACTATATAAATTAACAAACCGCAAAATTATTTTCTAAGACTTTAGATGATCATGAGAAAATAACTAGTTTTTGACAAAGAACTCTTTTCTTGATTATATTAGCCGTTATAAAACAATAGAGATTTTTTGGCTCGATATAAGAGGGCGGAAATTGAGAATATCTTGCAAAATGCAGCAGAGTTGCACATGAGAAGGCAATAATCTCACCAAACCCAGCTCAGTAGATGCATATACGAACAATCAAGTATTTCATAAAACATGTAAAATGATTGACGCTTTCATATGCCATGGACCGACAGTAAGCCGAAATGAGTTGTAAAAAAAGTTGAATAGAACAATGTGAAAAGCACACTTTTGCATAATATGTGGCAAAAATAGACATGGTAACTAAAAAAAAATCATTTCTGAAAAGGAAAAATTAAGCACTTTTCAAAAACATCCAACGGAAAAAAAAGCACCTTTAAGGGTTTTTAAATAACGAAAATCAAAAATAAATACTTTTAAGCACTTTTTGTTCTAATATTATGGGTGATATTCTCGCATTTTGTAAATAATCATCACAATAAAAAAAAATTAAAAATAAAGAAATCAGTTACTAAAAGAAGAAAAAAAAAGATCCACGATGAAATCATTTGAATCAGTCTCTTCAAACACATGCTTCGTTTCAATATTAATTTGTTGTAATAAAAAATATCAGATTTAAAAATTATGGAGAAAACAATAGCAATAACTGCCAAAAATTCGATAGAATCATTGCCTTAAAAAGTAAATACTCAAATGCAAGATTCGAATTTTACATAGTGTTTAAAATATATAAGAATATTTAAAAACGTTGTGAAAATCAATAGCTGCGGAAAATTTAATCGAAACATTACATTGATTAAATTCAACGAGTCAAAAATTTATTATCTAAATGCATGATTCAAATACTACCTGTAAATTTCTGAACAAACAAAAGCTCAAAATTTTCTACTTCCCAGCAGAAAAATCTTTCTGCAAGAACTCTAACTTTCTGCGACAATGTTACCGGGTTGCTGCAATTCTGCCACAGGAATAATGCGAAACAAAGATTTTACTAAAAAAAAACTGCATTAAGAAAAGATTTTATCTGGGCAGTTCTCTGGAAATTAGGACATAGGTCACAAAACTTGAAATAACACTTGAATTTTCAAAAATCCTGCAAGTACAAATCTTTTATTTCTTAGTAAAAATATTAGATGTTACTTCTTTTGTTGTCTAAGTTGACATGTTTAAATAATATTTTTAGAAGATGGATAATATTTTGGAAAATTAGAGTACTATAAGTTTGAGATTAAAAATATATAAAATTTATTGTATTTTATTTCTACTATGCTAACTTATAGAAACAGCAAATTTAACTGCAATGTTAATATTTAAAAGTATTGTTTTAATTACATTTATTAATTTATTGCTAGCAAATTTAGTGTAATTCTGTCACCACAAAGATGCTTAAGTTTGCTTTTTTTTAATTTAAAGAATAATATTGCAGTATTAGATATGTTGATTTTCTCAATACTGCTATGAGAAAATATAAGCAGACATAATTTTTAAATTCTATCTTTAATTGTTAGTTTAAATAGTGGTAAAGAAATCACATACTGGGAAGCAGAATAGAGTTATTCACTTAAAATTACTTTTTTATCAAACAGGGAGAGCAAATTTAAGGCCTACATTAAGTTCTTTACCTTTATTGTTAATTCATTTTGTTCAATTTAATGGAAGATATTTTTGCTTATTTAAATGGGCGTAAACTTTGTGTCATGGAAAATAGCAAGAAATTTCTTAAGAACCGTGAAAATGTTTTTGGTGCATTACTAAATAATTTGAAAAACATCTTATAATTAATTATCTTTTCATCAATTTTAACTATTGATTTAGTTATTCTAGGTTCAGATTAGTAAAATAGTTTCAGATCAAATAATTAACTTAATCACATGATATTTTATTGAGAAATAGGTAAAAAATTAAACATTACAGAAAAATTATTTTTTTAAAAAAAGGTTCCCAGAAAAGGTTTAGATTCTTTCTTTTTTTTAAATTTTTATGTGCGTTTCATAATCGATGATTGAAATTCTTTTTTGAAATAATCACTAAACTATACATTTACATAATTTTAAACTGCATAAAATATTGAATTTTAAGTAATATCTTCGGCATCAATTTTTTAGTAAATTTTCTGCAATTTTAAAATTGGTGTTGGAAATTATTGAAGAGCAATTATTTGTATTAATTGAAAGAAAAAATATGAAATAATTTCTATTTTTTTATGAACATGATTTTACAAACTTGCTTAGAATAAATAACTATTGATTTCTAACTGATAATTCAGTACTCTGACTAAAAGTTTTAAATTAAAAAAAAAGCTTTGACTGCTAAATAAAAGAAAGAGAAAAATTAAAAAGAAATCCTGAAAAGATGTAAAGAATAAAAGCCCAAGAAAGGAAGAAAAAAAAATTTATGAAGTACGACAAAGACCAAATTTGCTAGTGAGAGAAAGGAACAGAAAAAAAATGGTCAAGAACATAGATTAAAAGCAAAGTTTTAAAAAAAATAATGATTGTGATAGATTTGAAGCAAAGACACATGATGACATTCTAATCTTTAGGAAATAAAAACTATGTGTCACCAAATATTAGCCAAAATTTCCATTGGAAATAATTGTTTCAAAAAAGCTAGGCTCTGTTGTCTGATTAATTCAAACCAAAAAGAATCACAGAAAAGAATGTTCCAGAAATACGAAAAGTAAACAGTTCTGGAAACATGGGTTTGCTATGGGAAGAAAAAAAGATTGTAAGGAAATTAAAAGAATTGAAACTGCAGTAGCACTTCATGCTTAGAAGCTTATTGACACAAAGGAAGCACTTTGACACAAAGTAAAGATGCAGGAAGTTTTGCGAAATTTGGTAAACTGTAAAATAATGTTTCACATACTACTTACTTATGCAAGCATCATGAAAATGTAAGATTGCTATTACCCTAGCGGCAAAATAACTTGGGCCCTCATTGGGACAATATTCATGAATCTTTGCTTCGTAAGGGTTCGAATGATTTTCATTTTTCCCTACATAGAATTGTTATATTCAACTGATATTTTACAACCAATATCGGTCCTTTGTAGAATTATCAGATTAACCCTATATTTTATATCCATTATTTAGCCAATGTAGGTTCTATATTGGCCAAAGTAGGGCCATTCTAGGACAAATCAAAAAATCTAGACCTCCCAATATTGGTCCCTTGGTGCATGTTCTTATAGCACCCATATTGAGCCAATTTCGAGTTTAACTGGAGCCAAGGTAAAATTGTTGCCAGGGTAATTGCTTGAAAAAAATTTTTTACCACAAATTCAAATTTCATTTCATGGATTCTGTTCTAATATCACTTGTAATCAGGATAATGAAAACTGCATGTTTTTCAAATGTAGTGAGTACCCACAATTTTCCTTAATAAAAGGATGATTTAAAAATTAAATTATAGCAGTGGTAAAACTTAAAATCTCAAATTGTGAAGTAGAGGAGTGCTTTGCTGAAATAGAAAAGCTAGTACTGTATTTTTGTACAGCACACATCAAAATAAGGCAAACTGAGTATTTCAAGACACAAATAAAATAGTTTAATAATAGAGATTCAAGTGGATTTCAAAATTATACAAACGGGAAAATAAAATCATATTAGCCATGCAATCAAGTTACGCTTTTCATGGCCAGAGGTGATTGTGAGCGCAAGTCAAAATTCTGGAAAATTTCTGTAGTTAAAAAAAACAAAAAAAAAACAGTTTAAATTGAAAAAAAATTTAAACATGTTTTTTTTCCTTTTTCTCAATATTTCTTAGTTTACTTAAAATATCTTTAAAATTTTACGCATACCTATGATGACCTGGAGAAGTAATTAAAATTTACAAATATGTCTTTCTTTCTTGAGTTTATGATTATAATAACTATTTACTGATAAAAAATGAATATTAATCTTGAATATAAGCTTATAAAGTATTTCTCTGTCTCTCCCTTACAAACAAATAAAATAAACTGTGTTTTTAAGTTCCACCTTCGAAAATTTGATTTCCGGAAACTTCTGTGATCAATAATTTTTTGAAACGTCTGGACCTTCGATCTCCGGATCGCTGTTAGCGAAAATTCGGATTTTTTCCGGAGCACAATCAGCCCTGCATGGCTTGTGCTTGGGAATGTTAAAAAAAAGTGCACTCTAATTGTTGTATCCAGTAGCATGATAAGTATGCTTACTTTAGGATTCTAGAATTAGAAATTAAGCATAGACCATGCGGAGCTGGAGAGTCCAGAGAATTTAAACAATGTTTGCAACGCACTCTTGCTCACTTTAACAGAAACATCACTTAGATATTTTTCGCCACTAGCCATGGTAACTGCCCTGTATATAGAATTGGGGCTGAAGAAAGAAAAGTATCCATAGCAGTATTAACTAAGGAAGGACAAGCACAAACTTGTGGGGAAAAAATTCTGCGCAGCCAAGTCATGATGCCAAAACAACAAAGTGTTAGTGTTAAGCAAAAAAAGTTCGAGAACACCCAAGAACTGAAAAAACTGGTAAAATATAACCATTCCTAGGCACATAAACCGCATTTTATTACTGATGTAAATATGATAGAAACAAAACAAAAAACTTAGATTTTTCCATTAACTCATTATTCCACCACTTCAAATATATGAATTCTACAAATAAACCATTCATGAATGCTACAGATAAATCTGAGGTGATAATTTACAGTGAACAATGGATTTTAGTGTAGCAGGGGTGTTTGTGAATCTAAAAATTAATATCTTTATAAATTCAAATCACTGATGTTTTCCAAACATGAATTCTGAATAAATTATGTACAGCATAATTTAAATGAATGATTATGTATAAGTTTATTTTTATCTCTTATCACATTTTTTATTCCACCAGAAAAAATATTTACAAATGAATTCTAGTTCTAATAGTTTTAACTAAATTGTACAAGAATTTTTATACATAAATGTGATAGACGATTTCTTGAAACTTCTGGACCTTTGATATCGGGAAACTTCCAGATCGCGAAAAGTCCGGAAATCCGGATTTTTTCCGGAGCACAATCTATGGTGTAGTATATGCCAGCTACTCAAATAATAAACTAAGTGAAATAACCATTTTATAGGACAGGTAATTTTTAATAAAAAGGTTTTAAACTATACATTCAAAACAGGAATGCCACTCAAATTTGGAAGAAAAAATTCCATGTGCATACACAATATATTAAGAGGAAAAACAAAATCACTGCGCCCTTGAATGAACTGTATTGGACAAACTAAACTAGTTATAATTTATGAAAAAACTGAAGGAAAAAAGGAACAGCTGAAAGTACTTAAAACAAATAGTGCTATGTTAAATGAAATAGCTTAATATAGCTGAAATATAATCCTTAAATACCCCATAGTTTGCACTTAGAGTGGTTACCATTTCTTTAAAAGATGAAAAGAAGAATTCCCTGTATTTTCCCAGTTTCTAAAGAAAAACTCAAAATTCCATGCATTATCCCTGTTATTTTTGGTGATTTTTAAATTCCATGTATTTTCAATGTTGAGTGGCAACCCTGAAAAATAGAAAATCCATTTACCTGGTCTGCTCAGGTTTGAGATTTTGAAGAGATCTGCAAGAGATTTTGAAGTCTTTTTCTGAACCCCAAATGGGTAATTTATCCCTTAAAAGTGATTTTTAATTAAATGCACTTTAAATAAATTTTGGGAAACAAAACGGATCTTCACGTTCGGATGATGTAATTCTGTTACCACCACCACATTGGTTGAAATTAAAATTAATGATAACTTTCTTAATGGCAGTGTTGATATCATATGAATCTAACTGAAAAAAAATCAGAGTGAAAAAACAAAACTATTTATAAGTTTGGTTAATTAGAAGTACAGAAGTTCATGACTTCACTGCAAACAAAATTATGAAAATTTTATCCATTTTTCCAAAAATAAATGGTTCTTAAAAATCCCTGTGGCAGAATTTTTTAGAGCTATCTGCGACAAAACTCTCTAGGACTAATATCTTTCTGCAAGATACTTTCAATAATGACTAGCATATATGTTAATAATTTAAAATAACAGAAGCACTATGTTTGCAAAAAAAAAACTTTTTTTTAAATTAAATGCAATAAATTTTATAATATTATGAGTAATATTGTCGCATTTTGTTTGGGGGGTGCAAATTATTTTATTCGCATTTTGTAAATAACAGTAAAAAAAAAAAAATTGCAAAATCTCTAGTAGTAATTACCGAAAAAAAGATAGATGACGAAATCATGCGAATCCGACTCCTCAAATGAGTGTTTCGTTTCGAGATTAGGTTGTTGTAATAAATATTGTACAAAAAAAAAAAATTTGAATTTAAAAACTATGGAGAAATCAATAGCAATCACTGCCAAAACTAGATAGAATCATTCCCTAACAAGTATATACTCAAATGCACGATCTGAATTTTCCATATTGTTTGACATACATCTGAATATTTAAAATCCACATGAAAATCAATATCAATAAATATTACAATACAATTGGAGCATTACATAAATATATTTCTGAAGTAATTATTTTCAGTTTTCAAAAGAAAAATCATTCTGCAAGAACTCAGTAACGTTTTGCAACAACGTCACAGTGTCGTTGCGATTCTGCCACAGGGTTAAAAATCATTAATTTCAGGTAATAGGCTGAATCTTTTATTAAAGTTAACAATATTTTATAATATTACTAGAAGAAATGGTCCTATAAAATATGTTTATTAAATAAGATTAATTTAATATTATTTAATTTCATATTATTTAATTTAAATTATAATTAGAAATTTTAAATTTGATTACCAGTTTTAGGGACTTCATTCATTCGGTTGTATCCTCTGCGCATATTACCTCTGCCACGTCGTCTGCGCAGCCAAGCATTGTTTGCGGACGCCCCAAATGTTTCTACATTTAGTTTCCTCTCAAGTCTCCAATCGAATCTGGGAAAACTAAAACAACAAAATTAAATGCTTATTTATGACAGTGTTTATAAATTAAGATGAAAATCTGAATCATTTACAGGGTGCGTAGCCAAATCTTTCAACAAAATATAAGCACCTTTTAAGTACTTTTTAAGCACTCAAAAATATTTTTAAGCACGATATGCATTAACAAAATGCAAAGTAATTTTCAAAGACTTCAGATGATCAAGAGAAAATAACTAGTTTCTAATAAAGAACTCTTTTTCTTGATTATATTAGCCACTATAAAATGAGAGATTTTTCAGTATGAGAGATTTGCAATTGAGAATATCTTGCAAAACATTGCAAGATATTCTCAATTGCACATGAGAAGGTAATAATCTCATCAAACCCAGTTCAGTAGACGCACAAACGGGCTCGCAAGTATTTCATCAAACATGTAAGATGTGGTTTCATACGCTATGGACCGAAGGAACGCCGAAATGAATTGTAAAAACATTGAATAGAACGCAAAAAGCACGCTTTTTATACGTGGCCAAAATAGACATGGTATCAAAAAAAAATCTCATTTTTGAAGAGAAAATTAAGCACACTTTAAAAACACCCAATGAAAAAAAGCACTATTAGGGGCTTTTAAATAACGAAAATTGAAAATAGGCACCTTTTAAAAACGCTACGCACCATGATTTATAAATAAAGATGAAAATCTTAACGCACCCTTTACTGATTTGGGTTGCCTCGCAACTAATGTCATCAAAGAAAGACTTCTCTTTGTCATAAGAGGAATTCTGATCTTCAAGAACACTGGGAGACTGATCCAGGCTCAAATCTGCAAAACATAGACAATCATCAAAAGAGACATAAAAACTTCATTTTACCCAAGGGTGGAACCAATCGCTAAACCAGGTTTGAGTGAGGAAGAGCAGATGGATTTTAATCAAAAATATATGCTAACCTGAACTCAATTAACAATAGATATATTTTTGCAAAAGTCTGTTCTTTCGTATTTTTCTGTATTGTTTTAAACTAAAATTCTAATGATGTACTGGATGTTACAACCATATTTAAAATTCTATTAAAAATTTTAACAAAATCCCAAAGTTCTAATTTTTATTTTTGTTAAAGATAAATTCCAACAAGTAATATAAAAGTTTTTAAAGTAAATTCCTACCTTCAAAGAAAAATTTTATGTTAATTACTTTTTATTAAATAATTACAGTTTTTTTCCCCATATAAAACTAAAAATTAATTACATTTAATTAATGAATTAACATGTGAAATAACTATTAACAAGTGTCATCCACTTTAAAGCCTTTAAATTGTTTTTTTGTACTTGAATGGATAAATAAAAAGCATTTTATAAATGAAAATTTGAACAAGATATATAAATATATATAGGGAGAGTGAATCCCCTATATCCAAATCATCATGTAGGACAGACACTTGATGTCTGTTTTCAAATCCAAAGTAGGAATTTTAAAAAAAATGCTAGTATCAGATAACTATAAAAGTATAAATTTAGTGATGAGGACCGCATGTGCTACCACGTAATATTCTTTATTGAATTTATCTGACACAGCGAATATAAAATTAAATATTTAAATGCAAGCAAAAAAGTTTTGTTCAAATAGACCTATATGTTAAAAATTATCACTTATTTTTAAAATATGTGAAAAACTGTATCGCTTTAAAATTTAAAACAATGACTAACACTTAACTGATCAGAAAATTCCATTTAGTTTTTAGCTCATCCTTATTTAATTAATCAATTAATATGTGAAAAAACTGTATTAACATCAAGTGCTATCACTATAAGATCAAAAAAATGTATTTGAACTTGAGTGGATGATAAAAAGTATTTTATTAATGATTGTAAGTTTAAAAAAAATTAAGGGAGTGCGCGAACTAATAGGAATTTAAAAAAAGAACTTAAATCATGCGACATTTTGCCAAAATACATTGAAGAGTCAAATTTTCTTAAACTATTTAATCAGTGTTTTCACTACAGCGCGAGAATCTCGCATATTTTTTTCTTTTCTCGCATTAAAAAATTATTAACGCGAGAAGTTCGTGCACTGAATTTATCAATTTTAAAATGCACGAATCTCTCGAATTTTGGAAAAAATTTAGTCTTCCGCCATTTTGAAAAAGACATGAAAACAGCTACGACAAGTGTTGAGAAAAAAAGTGAGTTCTTTATAATAAGTTGTTTAAAGTTATCTCTAGTTTTCGCGGTTAATGAATTACCAAACTCCCTCATCGACAATTTGTAAAAGTTTAAGTCTGTGAAAACTAATCTGGAAGACCTGACAAAGAGTATGAACATGGAAATAAGTTCAACGAACTTCACTATTCCATAACAGAAATAAGTGTAGAACCTATGCTGGCATACGTAGAGGACAGGAAAGTGTGTGCACAATGCTGCAAATTTAATTAGTGATTCCGAATAGTTCAGCATCTGTTGCAAGGTTATTTAGCCCCCAAACCGAATNTTAATGAATGATGGGAATTTCCCCTTCTTGCTTGAAGTGTTCTAGTTCAAAATGGCGGAGAGAGAGCAATTAATATTTTCATAACTGTAAATATTTTTAGTTTCCTATATTCATTTTTATAATAGCAATAATTATTATTTTTTAAATATTTTGTTTTGATTGATTAGATATCATTCTAATTCTAAATCATTATTGCCCTAAAAATAATGTTATTTAATTTCTGCTTCTTAGATTCAGATCATTTTAATCTCTGTTTACCTTGGGGGTCTATTATACGGAAAAATCGATTATCCGGACTTCGGAAAGTCCCGCCGATTCCGGATACGCGACTTTCCACTGTAATTACATTTCATAAAATGAAAAACTTAATACATTAACTTTTATTTTATGCATCACTAAAATAATTTTAAAATTTAAATGTGATATTTTTAATAATTACATGATAAAACCTCTAAATAGTTAATATTTATTACTGTTACCATCTTGTCACCTATTTCAACAAAAATAAATTAAGTAATTTTACTTTCTTTTTCAGTTTATTTTTTAAACAGCTGCTTTTATTTTAAAAAAGTGTACAATAATCCATAAATTAATCTCATTGTAGCAAAAATGTCACGATTCTTGGGAAAAAGAACTGCAGGTACACTAATATGGTTCTTTCTTTCTTTAAACTTATGCTTTAATAAATTTTTATAATTTTATTTCATTTAAATTATATAATTTTAATAAATTTTTATGCTTCATTTAAGTTTAAATGAAACTAAAACAACTTTTAAACGTATTTGCAAGAATATGTTCCAATTCATATGTTCAGGGTTGCCACAGAAAAAAATGAACAAATAGTTGCTTCTAGTAGCCTAAAGCATGAAAATAGTCGCCTAAAATTATGAAAATAGTTGCCTAAATAAGAACAAAATTTTTCAATAATATTACTAAAATTTTATTAAATGACTTTATTGTAATATACCACGATTCATTTTGTCAACTTGATGGTCAATGTGATAATTCTTAAATAAACGTTAGTGTTCTAGCACTAAATTTTTACATAAAAAAATTAGACTATTTGCAGAAAATTAAATACTTTTAAATACTAGAATTAATTCAGAAAAATATTTGTTAAAAAAAACTTTCTAAAAAATTTTCCTTTTTATTAATAATTCATTTAGCAAATATATATATATATATACTGAAAAGTTATTACTAAAATTCGAAATTCATGCATCATAATATAGTATTAAAAATAGGGTTATTTAAAATCGTGCAGAATTTCGTAGCAATAACTGTTGAAAAGGCGATTGAGAAACAAAATAGATTCACAATGGAATCTGTTCAAATTGAGCTCATTAAAAAGTGATGACTCAAATTTGCATTTCAAAAAAAAATTTTAAGAAAAAAAATTTATTATGTTCAGAAAGCTACCACGGGGCGCAGCTTGTCAGCCCAATTTATGCTTAAAAAAACATCGCTAGAAGAACAGAAAAGTCTCCCAATAGTCTCCTTTTCTTGAAAATAGTTGCTTTTTAAAATTTTTCAGGCAAAAAAAGTTGCCATAGTTGCCCCAGGTCGAAAATAGCTGCAAATAGTCCCATTTTAGTCGCCTGGGGCAACCCTGTATGTTTTAAATATTTTCCCTCAAAGACTTAAAATCAGAAACAGACAACAAATTTTGAAATGTGTTTTGATGTGCAATTTAAAAAACACCACTTCTAGACAGATTTCAAGAAGAGTGGCTTGACAATTATTTTCTTACTATTGCTAATGCTGTAAACACTAAATTAAAGTTTTAAAAAACTGATAAAAAAATTTTTTGAAGACCATCAATTTTGAATTTTTTTTTACAGCTTATGCTGATTTTTCTATTGCACAACAGTATTGAAAAGCTAGAAATTACAATTCTACAATTAAGATTCACTATAGCAGAATTATGGAGTTAACTTCTGACAGTTAAACTTATTTTAAGGCCAGCTAACTATCTCAACAATACTTCTTGTATTAAAAAAATTGAAATTCATTGCAATCTAATAAATTATGCATAAAAACTAATAAAAAAAATACATAAAATAAATTATACATAATAAAAATAAATTATACATAAAAATAAATTTAAGTTTAAAATAGTTATAGGTAAAATATAAATAAATATAAGTTAAACTCTAAAATGTATTGAAAATTATAGTTTAAAAAAAATACCAGAGAAAAGCTTAAAAATACCAATGGAATTTTTTGCCAATTTATTTTCAAGTTCTTGAAACTCTGCATTTGCCTGTTCAAAATCATATTCTTTGTCATAGTTTTCTATATTAGACTCATTTCTTGGGTTGCGCCGAGCAATACCTATAACATCAATAAATATGTTTAAAAAAAATTTGTTTATTGGACAGGTAAATATAACTAAATTAGAATTTAAATGGCAAAACTTCTATCGTCTTTAACGTATCTTAAAAAAGTCATAATATCTATCATAGCAATTCAACGAAGTTCTTCATAAAATTTTTAAGCACTATCTACATTAGCAAAATGCTAAATAATTTTCAAAGACTACATGATCATAATGAAATAACTAGTTTCTGACAAAGAACTCTTTTTTGATTACATTAGCCACTAAAAAAAAGAAAAAAAAGATATTTTTCAATCCGATTTCAGAGAGTGGAAAATGAAGCCTGAAATTGAGAATACCTTGCAAAATGTAGCAGACCGGCACATGAGAGTGCAATAATCACACCGAACCCAGCTCATTTGACGCACATGCGGACTCGCAAGTATTTCATCATACTTGTAAAATGATTGGTGCTTTCATACGCTACAAACCGACAGAATCAAAAAATTTCAGAGAAAAAAAAAATCTCCTTTTCAAAAATAAAAGCACTTTTTAAAAACACCCAATCAAAAAAGCATCTTTAAGGGATTTTTAAAAAACAAAAATAACACCTTTAAGCACTTTTTAAAAACGCTACCCACCACATGATAAAAATATAAAAAACCGGAAAAACTCTGCAGATTCTCATCCCTGAAAAGCTAGCAATTTTCACTTGTAGTAATAATATCAAATAAAAATTATTGGAATTTTAAAAACCGCATGGAAATCGGTATCAACAACTGTGGAATCTTCATATTAGCCCTTTGGACATGGAGTACTTAAAAGTGCTGTTTAAAGTAATGCAAGAAATAAATTATTTGAAATACATACAGTATCTTTACATAATCTTTAAAATTAATTATCAACCAGTTATTTTATGAAGATAGAAATTTTTAATTTTAGAGTGAAAACTGAGTCGCCTAAGAAGTGACATCTAAGTACAAAGAGTAAAGTGAACAATCAAATGCACAATTTGAATTTCAACCCATGACAGAGAGAGTGATTTAAAAAAAAAATTAAATTCATAGCAAAACCTTAATAAAAAACTATCAAAATCCTGCATCAGTTTATAATAATATCTGAGCAAAACAAGCAGTGCCGGATTATCCATTAGGCCAGACTAGGCCATGGCCTGTGGCCCCCAATGATTAGGGGTCCCCCTTAAAATGGATTTTTTGAAAATTATTTTTAAAAAATTTAGAAAAACAATAATTTTTTAAAATTTTTTTTAATTTCAAACATATATGTTATGGTTATAAAATGTTACGATTATTTTTTAGTTATAATTTAATAAAATAAAGTAAAATTTAATTTATAATTTATTTTTATTTTAAATATGCTTTCTTAAATGAAAATATATATAAATACTTTTATATTTGAATAAATAATATGAGAGAAAAAAATCTCATCTAAGGGCCCCAAAAATTTTAATGGCCTAGGGCCCCCGCATATGATTAATCCGGCACTGAAAAAGAGCATGTCTGATCATGCAACTGCGTGATTCGCACTTTGCATGTCGTGATAATTTCGGTAGAATATTAATAATAAACGGAGTAATGAAAGACATCCGGGTTTTAAAAATTTTCAGCATTTCTACAATCATTTTCCCTCCAACAAATATGCAAGAAAGGCAACATTATGGAAATAATTCTGCAGAAAAAAAATTGAAACACTTTTTTGCAGAAGAAAAAACCAGCACAGGGCAAAAGACTTGACAGTAATCTTACTATTTCGTCTTGGACCTCCTGGTTGCCTGTTGAAAGAGGCCCTCCTCCTCTGAGGATAATTCATCTGATTTCTTTGCCTCAGAGGTTCTCTACCATCCAGTCCCTGTCTATTATATACATCAGTACTACCCACAGAGACTTGGACACTAGCATCAGTCGTAGTGCCTTTGCGCTGAGGAGTTTGCGCTGTTGCACGACCTATATTCAAAGAATTATCAATGAACAATCACAAAAATTAGGAAACTTTTGAACTAATCTATGATAAATTAGAAAATAAAATAACATGAGCCATTTAATGAGATTAGAAACTATTACAAACAATTTAAGAATTTAGAAGAGCATTAAAAGGCTTTTTACCTTGATATATTTTATAACCAAACCATCATTGATCAGCAGACCCAATTTTGAACTCAATCCAGATGACAAGATCTCCTCAAAATGTATTGGGAGAAATTTGTCCTCATGGTTTTCTTTTTGAAACTAACCCACATTTGCGTTACATGGAGAGGGAAACCTCCCATGGTTAACCAGGCTGCAAGAGGACTAACCCATAATTCATCTACCACTGAGGATATTTTATATCAGCACAGTGGTTGATGCGAGCCAGGAGCGGAATTTGTATAGACCAGTCATCACAGGGATTTGAACCCAGTTTACCTCAATGGAAGGCAGGCACTATCCCCTGAGTCACCAGACCACAGCGCTCCCACGCCGCATTAGAGATAGTGAAAAAAAATTGAATTTTTTTTTTGTGTATAAATTTATGAAACATAAAAGCAATTAAGTTTGTTTTATTTTTGGCCAATGAAATAATTTTGCTATGTCACTGAATTAAACTTAGTGGATATTTTGAAGAAGTACAAGGATCTGTTATACAGATGTGCAATAGAGAAAAATCAACGTAAGAAAAATTCAAAATTGACATCTTTATATTTAGCATTTTTGTAAGCTACATAGTGCAAAAAATTAATAAATTTTGTTTCACCAATCTTGAAATTCTATTTTAGCTTCTCTAGCATTAGCAAGACTAGTTTTTTTTCGAAATGTAATGTGAAGCCTTTAAATTGTTTTTCAATTGGATGCATTTTAGGCTGCGAGACCTGTTTACCAATAAACAAACTTCCTAGGTGGTCATAATACAAGTATAAAGTTAAAAAAATAAGGAAGGAAAGACAAAAATTCTAAACTGTAATTAACCACAAACTTAGATTTTTGGGATGGGGGATTTGCTGAATAAAATTCCTAATTTGACCAAATCATAAATAGGTTTGATCCCCGTCAGTCGAAGACTCCCCGTGTAGTAAATGGTGACGGATGCACGTTAAATTGGTTGAGTCACAAAGTCCTTCATGTTCCCATAACAAATCAATACTTCTGGGGGTACTGATCCAGGAGTTTCCTTGTCTTCTGGATTGGGTTCAAAGCTGCAAGGTTACGGAGTTGAACGTTAGCAGTCGTAAACCCAAAATTGGGTCGACTGTTCAACCACAGTTATAAAATAAAATAGGTATGTAATTTATTTGCTGCAATAAAAAAAATTGCGAATAATATTTTCCCTACACACTGTTCCACAACTGATTTAACGATTTTATACATTATAGTAAATGAACCGCTGGTTTGTGAGTAAGGCGCTAAACTGTGGTTAAGAATTGGGGTCCAATCCTTAGTAGCTACTTAACACCCTTCAGAACAATAGATATCAGTATGTCTTTGAAGTAAAGATGGCTTATGTTCAATACTGACCACACTGCCGAATCTAGCCACTGCGACGTGATTGAGGAGCGTTAACTTCCATGAAACCCTTGACCTGCTTTCTTTTTTTTTATTTTGATCAATAAATGAAGAGCCATTTGAAAAGTAAAAAGAGATAAATTAATTCACAGCTAAAATAAAATTTTTCACTCAAATCTGGAAAAAAAAATTCAGTGTTTTCTCTGTACATATTATACACAATATATCAAGAGGAAACTCACTGTCATTGTACTCTTGAGTGACCTATATTAGTCTAGCTATAAAATTTTTAATTGCTTGAAAAACTTAAAATAAGGAGGAGCTGAACATACTTAAAACAAATAATGCTATAGTAAATGAAATAGTTTAATATAGCTGAAATGTCATCCTTAAATATCCCACATACACTTTTAAAACACTAAAAAAAAAAAAAAAAAAAAAAAAAAAAAAAAAAAAAAAAAAAAAAAAATTCCCTGCGTTAACCTTGTTATTTTAGGTGATTTTTTTTAATTCCCTGTATTTTCTAGGATCTTCCTGTGGAGTGGCAACCCTAACACTACCCCATGAATCAAATAAATTATTTGTCAATCAGCAAATTTCAAATATAAATAGTCTGATATTACATGAGCATGGGAGTTCAAGGGAAAGAAAAAATTTGTTACTCTATATTCGTTAAAATTATTAACATTGAGCGAACTAATTAAAAAGGTTCCTAATTACTTATAAATTTGGTTTTTATTCCGTATATAAGGAAGACAAATTTTTGCTTATCTTACTTTATACAAAAAATAGGACACATAAAGTATCTGAGCCATATTACTCATTTACAGATATAAGGGTACATGGCTGCAAAAAAATCTTGATTACCTAGATAATCTCAGCGAGATTTTAAGTCTGGACACAGCTTGAAATTGTGTGAGTTCATGAAGAGCTTAAAATTTTTGTTTACGAAAATGGACACTAAAAAACATTTTCAGTTCTCAACCTGACTTCAAATGATTAAAATGAGGAATTAAGTGCCTACACATTAAAGAATTAAAGAACATAATCATTAAGGGGCAAAATCCCAGACTTCGAGGAGTCTAGGTATATTACAGATGTAAGGTCTTCGTATTCAGAATTCTAAAAGTTTCAAAATTCTTAATTCATACAACATAAATTTAACACCACTATTATAACTGGATAGAACCTGTCACAACTTAAAACTGTTGATAATTAAAGTCCTTTAAAAAAAGTGAATTATGTAATGTTAATTATAAAAATCACTTTACAATATCACTTTACGAATTAATTTTTATTCATTAATTTATTCTTAAAAAAAGAATAGAACTAATTAGAGAAAGTTAAAAAAAAGGCAATCAAATACTATGCCAATTTTCTTAAATAGATTTGTTCATTTGTAGAAGATGCAATTTAGAAATAGATATTCAAAACAAAAGTTATGCATGTTTTATTTCCAGCAAAAGTTAAATAAAAAGGTGTAAATTTCATTCGTGTTTTTGCAATGAAATGTGAGAAAATGAATTCTATTAAATATGTCAAATGGCCAAGCAAATTTTGCCGAATAGTGTAAATCTTTAGGACATCACAGTGATTTTTTATCCAGACACCCCTGCACCTAATTTAACAAAATTAAATAATATTATTCATAAAAGATACAGAAGAGGAACTGCAAAACTATACACGGAAAGATAAAAACTTACAAGTATATGTTATAATGAACTCAAACTGAGTGACTTGACAAATATTTTGCAGTTTTCACTGCACAAAAAAATAACAAAGTATTACTCACTTGATTGTGCTACATTAAAAGGATGTACGTTTGAATAGTTGTTGCCAACATGAGAAGGAAATCCTTGAAGTCCCGTAATTCCATAAAATGTGTTGTATCCTTGACCCGAAGGATAATGCATAACAGGTCCAGACTGCTAAAATGAAAAACTTAAGCTCAATCCAAATATATCATTTAACATTTTTGTCAAGATGACCAAGATTGGTACTTCACAAGGGCACATGAAAAAAAGTTGTAAATAATAAGGAAAAAAAATTAGATTTTTCTTTGATAATTTTGTCTCGATATAACACTCTAGGAAAGAAAAAAAAACTATTAAAATAAATATTTAGTATCTTGATTTCCTAGCTTAAATCAGTGTACCGCCTAAGCGTTTTTAGAAAGGTGGTCCGCCCTGCATGTCCTTTGATCCCTATAAATGCGTCTTGTCCTTTTTGTAAAAATAAGCCACCATACCTTAAAAACACTGCCTTTTATTCATATTCCATTTTTTAAAATAATTAATTCACTGTTTAAATATTTACACACTAGTAAAGTTCTGTTTATAGGTTTAATTCTAATTACTATTACAAATATTTACTTTTTTAGGATTAATCTCATATTATGAATTGTTAAATTTATAATACCAGTCACAATGAATGAGTGCCTTTTTCTGAGAGGCAGCGGCCGGCCTTTTTATTCCTAGGGAGAACTGTTTAAATATAAGGTTAAATCTCAAAACAATATTGATTGTAATATAGTTTAAAATAATTACTCTGTAGCAAAGCAAAAACGAAATAGAACCAAATGGTAACAAATTAAACTTTTAAAAGAATAAAGAAATAAGAAAATTTTAAGATTGCAGAAAAATTATTATCAGTAAGGGTTGAAATTTCCCTTATTGTTTACTGAGTGTTAACCAGCAACAAGAAAAATCATTTAATTTTATGTATTAAATGCTAAGATAAAAGTTTAAGAAAAGTTTTAAAATTTTACTGATTTAAGAATTAAAAGATCATATAGAAGTAAAGATAAAAAATAATTGAATTGTATAGTTAAACATTGAATCTAAGACAAATACTGGAATAATAAGTAAAAATACCGAAACAATTGCAGGATCATGTGGTAAAAACCCATGAAAAGACTTTGGTCCCTCACATACATGAAGATCTTTGATATCACTGGCTCTGAATATTATATACTCATAAACTTCATCTCTAGGTGCTAAGGGTCTCTCTGTTGGTCTTCCTTCAGTGCCGAATGATTTTACTGGAGAGGAAAGAAGAAAAAAAACATCAACCAGTCACAATTTAAACAAATTATTTAAAAACACAAGATAAAAATTTCATATTAAGATTGAAATGAGGAACTATTTTTTTTAAAAAATCTATTGAAGTTAAAAATCAACACATTTTTTAAGTTTTAAAGTAGCTATAATACCAAAATATTGCCAGTAATGTTTTGGTATTTCCTTATAAAAATTTAATATTTAGCTAGTGGAATATTTAGTAATTATAACTTTTTTAATAATTTATTTAAATAAAGAGAAATTGATAAATTAGGATTTTTTAATCTAGTTACCATTTTTTTTAAAATACGTAATTCTTGTACATGTTAAAAATTAAGTTCATTAATCTAATATTAAAAAAATTTCATTAAAACTATAAACAATTACTTAAAAATTCCTTTATTCACTTAGTTACTTAAAAATTCTTTCTTTTATTACTCATTCAATAAACATCAAGATATACAAAAAAATTTTTTCCTTGACTAGAAGGGTAATTTCTATATATTTGATGATTTATTAATGCAGAGGAACATAAGCTATTGGAGAGAAAATTTAAATTTTCTTTCTAACATATTGCATTAATTACTTAATACATTTACATATAGCATATTTTCTATATCACTTCATATCTATTTTATATCATTTCATATCTATTTTATATAAACACGTGGCTCAGCACAGGTCATTGTAGAACAAGTAGTGAAAAGAGTGACTAAAATTTTTTAAAGTGATAAATAGTGATTTAATTTAAAATAAGGTTAATAGTCAGGCAACATCCTAATAAGCTTAAAAATATACGAATTAAAAGAAAAAAATTTTTTAGAAACATTTATTGTTATTGCTTTAATTTACTGCAATTGAAATTTTTTTTAAAAAAAATTAATATTTTCTAATTTTCCCAACTAAAAAAAAAAAAATTGCATGTTTAACTTTAGCTACTATGGCTTAAAATATTACATTAAAGAAGCAGTAAAAGTATACAACAGAAATATTGTTGCTATTATGCAAAGTTAATACACATTTATTGAGATGTGCTTCTCTTCAGGTGTCAAAAAACGATATGTTTGTAAATATATGAAGAACTGAAAAAATGTTAAATAGCTTATTGGAAAAAAAAAGTACTTTTACAACAGAAATGGCACAAGACAAATGTGACAAAAAGTGATTAATGCAATAAAAAATTACAGTATTGTATTAAAAGTATGAAAATTAGAAATATGTGCAAAACTGGACACATGTGACCATTGTCTTTAAGAGGTAAAATTCGAAAAATGCATATGTAATAGCATTGTATAAAAAATATAATTGAAAAAAATAAAAATGGTTGAAAAAACTCTAAAGGGAAAAAGTGGAATCATGATAGAACTAAGCGCATTAAAAGTTATTTTTGATAAATCATTAACAAATTGTTACTGAAACCTAAAATTCGAGAGTCATTACAACACCGTATTAATTAAAAATATAACATCATATTAATATGAAATTAATGCAACGGAAAGCAACATTAATTCACAATGTAATCGCCCTGAATCAATATAATTAAAAGAACATGTGGAAAAGGCTGGAAAAATGATAAAAAATTTACTCGAGCGCCTAAGGTAAACACTAAGAAATCACAATGAAATCAAATATGCCTAAGAAACGATTTTCAAATAAATCATTAGCAAATAGTTTTTACTCAAATACGTGTAACATAATAAACATTGTATTAATTAAAATATGGAGATTTATTCATCAAATTAAAATTAGTGTGTCATAACATTGTATAAAAAACAGCACAATGTGAAAAACCACATAGAAAGGACTGAAAAATTTCTTAACTCCTGACATCAAAAATAATAAAAAAAACATCCAATGGTGTGAAATTTTGTGTCAAAAAGAGATTACTCAAATTCCCATGACATAATATCTTATAAAAAAATTTCTTTGAAAAGGCAAAAAAAATTAAAACAAAAAAGTAAACATTTAATTTACGCTTTTTCTTCTGAAGAAAAAGAACTTTTAATGCAAAATAAGAACTTTTAATCAAGCTTAATTTCGATAATGCAAAATAATGCTCTATTAAGCACATTTAAGGTACATAAGAGCCCTACAAGAAAAAGGAAATTAAATTCAAGGAGAAATACACAAAATTTCACGCTCTGCAACTCCACAGCAGATAAGAAAACAAAAGTTAAGATAGATGAATAAAATCATTCCTTAGTACAGTGAATGGCTCTTTCATTTTAAGAGGTATTCATTTGAAAGTGGAAATTGTCCATTTTTCTTCACATATTCAATCCTCTTCTATTCCAAACCTGTTTAGGCGAGTCCTTTACCAGAGGATTGTATTAGCAGTGTTTTCACTACAGCGCGAGAATCTCGCCTATTTTTTCTCTTCTCGCAATAAAAACGATTAACGCGAAAAGTTCGCGCACTCTATTAATTTCAAAATTCACGAATTTTGGAAAAAATTTCGTCTCTTGCCATTTTGAATAAAATTCGCTTCACTTTTCTTCCTTGATCTTTCATTATTTTGAACATCGGTCCTTATCTAGCTTCCCTATTTATCAGTATTGTTCAGAACCGGTGCGAACAGCAGAGCACACACCCCCAAGCCCCTTTCAGAACACATTTCTCTGCCACCATGTGTTCACTGTAGGTAAAGTTTCTTAATGTAAGACGTTTGTATTTTTTGTGCATGCATGTAAGATGGACAAATACCTTGTTAAGGCGACTTCTACTCCGTAACGGACAAATGAAAATGAAACAAATGTCCGTAGAAGCGGTCAAAACGAAACAAATACGGATATTTTCAGCCAAATAAATATAATAGCCGAGGAAAAAGTAGATATAGAACATTTTCCATATGATGATGCAGCAAAAATATTCAATTAGAAGATGTGAAAAATGTATTATAATTAAAGAAAAAAAAATTCCAAGTCTATTCGTGTTTTTTTAATTTTTAGAAATCTCACCCTGTTTTTGAGAAAGGGGGATAAATTCTCTCCCATTTTTTTTTCTGTAATGAATACACTGTATCATGGGTTCAGGGATATGTGAAATCTTTCTTTGGATTGAAATGGGAGGAAAATGGTGAAATTAAAATTTTAAAAAAAAACTGTAATAAGTGACTAAGCCTTAAAAACAGTGAATAAAAGTTACTATTTTTTAAGATAGTGACATTAAGTGAGAAAAGTGACTCACGCCTTGCCCTGATAAACACTATCTGAATATTTTCCGAAAATAGAAGAGTTCTCAAATTGGTGGCAAAGAAAAACTACGCCATAAGTTACTCAGAAATTAAAGGTTAAAAACAAATAGTTTAGATAAACTGTTACATTTATCTGTTACATAAACATTTAATTCTGCCTATTAGTTAACACATGTAACAATTTTAAGTTTTATCTTAATTATGCTTATTAATTATTGCAGGAGAGTTTTAGTGTCAATTAAAATCAGACAGTTCACAGTTTACAACCTCTGATATACTACTTACATTTTTATCAAAATGTTCTTTTTTTTCCATCACCTTACCTATTGTTTTTATACATTTTATGAATTTATAATAGAATATAGGATTTCACACTTTTGTCTTCAATCAGTAAAGTTGATTATGGATCATAAAGAAATTCTGCGTATTATTTGTAGCTTACGTAATATCTAAGTAACAGTGAAATAAATAAAGTTAAATATCAGCTATAATTTTCTCAGAAAAACAGTTTAAAATATTTATAACATCTTATTATAATATGAGCAAAAGTTAAATAAAGTACACAACTAACTAAAACTGTTTAATTATATGCTGATTATTTAAAAAACAAATTTGGTTTAAAGCAGAAAAATGTTACAAATTTAAGAAAAATTGTTTTTAATATAAATTTGTAGGAAAAAAAAATTGGTCTTGACCTTATTTAAATTGCAAATTTAAGCCTGTTCTGTTTAAAATTTTCAATTCAAACTAGATAAAAAGTAACAAAGTAATTTTAGAAGTGACATTTAAAGTGATATTTTATAGATAAACATAGAACTTTAATTGTATTGACAATTCAGCCTTCGAAAGGGTTTTGAAACATATATTGCGTGTCACTGCCATATAAAAGATAAATTTCATTAAAAAAGATAACACTTTTAAGGCTTTTAATATATCAATTGAAACTATAAAAGTATTACTGAGTAATAAAAAAAATTAATTTTGATATTGAGCTCTAAAACGCAAGATGACAATACAAATATCAATTAATATTTAACTTCACTAAAAGGCAGAAAAAAATATTGTTTACCCTTAGCTAGCGCAATAGTAGACTCCTTTGGATCAACAGTATACAATATACCTTCATATCGGATTTCAGACTTAGAAATAATACTTATTTTACTACCCAAATAAGGAGGCAAAGGAGAAGACATTTTTAAAATTTCGTAAAGCTTCTACGTTGCAAATCTGCGTTAAACACAGCGATATTCACCTGCCACTTCTATGAGCACTCAGTCACAAATAAATCATTTATGGTTTATGCAAATCAGCATGCGAAAAATGTTAAATAATTATTTTTTCGTATGAACACTATAGACACTTTTCTATAGAATTAAAAATTAAATAAAGTATTTTAAATTATAAATATTGTACTTAAACCTGAATTGAAAAGCTACAGAATTGAAAATTTAAAAACGGAACCAAAATACGTAATATTAAATGCATCTGATGTATGTTAGAAAGCTACTTGTAACCTCTCTGATAGAGAAAATCCTGTCTCACTATTTAAATTGAACCACGCAAGTACCGTAAATGTGTCACAGAAGCAGGTGCGTTGCTGACCCATCCAATGATTATTTTAGTTTCAAGACCCTCTTCTAGTCTTTTCAAAGGATTCATTTTTTTCTCTTTTAACTGACACCTTATATAATTATTCAGAGCAATATGATAACAAAAATAATGAGAATCTGTGTATAAATATAGAAGTGTTTTCATAATTTTGTCTAATCCCTGTATAGATACTAATTTAGAATTTACGATTGCAGCTATATATATCTAAGATTTCTACGGAGATTTTTTATTGATTTCAAAGCATCACACAACAACCCAATTGCATTAAGATAAAAAGAAAATGATAATGCAACCCGAATGTAACAATACTTCCCGTTAAAGAGATGAACCGAGTTCGAATGCCAGCGATGGTTGGTCGATAGGAATTCCGCATCCGGCTAGCACCAACCACAGTGCTAACTTGAAATATCCTCAGTGGTAGACGGATCATGGGTTAGAGTCCGTATGCTGTTAGGATAACCATGGGAGGTTCTCGCTGTCTTCCTCTCCATGTAACGCAAATGCAGGTTAGCTCCATCAAAAAAGTCCTCCACGAAAGCAAGCTTCTCCCAATGCGCGATTCAGGAATTCCCTTGTCTTCTGGATTGANCTATAGTCACATTTTTTAAATTCGTGTAGTAAGTAGTAAGTATGGATCAGAAGGTTGCGTGTTCAAATCACGTCCGGGTCACCAGTGTGGGGGCGGAGTTATCGACCATGCCAACCGTCATCTATCAAAAGGTGATAGAATCAAGTTAGCATGCTTATATACTAGTGAATTGTAGTTGTAATTTTGTAGTGGTAGATACGCTACAAGCTTCTCCCAATACGCGATTCAGGAATTCCCTTGTCTTCTGGATTGGGTTCAAAATTACAAGCATACGGAGTTGAACATTAGTAGTCGTAAACCTATAAAATTGGGTCTGCTACTCACCGACGGTTATAAAATGAAATAAAACAGCTATACAAGATCTAGAGTACCATGAGGGCTCAGGGGATAGAACGCTCGCCTGCCAATGAGGTGAACCGGGTTCGAAACCCAGTGACGGCTGGTCGATACGAATTTCGCATCCGGCTCGCATCGACCACAGTGATGACGTGAAAATTGCGTCGGTGGTAGACGGATCATGGGTTTGAGTTCCCTTACCGTTAAGCTAACCATAGGAGTGTCCATGGTCTTTCTCTCTGTGTAACGCAAATGCGGGTTAGTTCCCTCAAAAAGTCTTCCACAAAGGCTAATTTCTTCAAATACTTGATCCAGGAGTTCCCTTGTTTTCTGGATTGGGTTCAAAATTATAAGGCTACGGAGTTGAATATTAGAAGTCGTAAACTCTAAATTGCGTCGGCTGTTCAACGATGGTTATAAAATAAAGTAAGATCTAGAGTCTATAAGTGATATTTTTGAGCTAGTTGAAATTCTATGTAGTCTCCATGAATTTACCATAACATTATCAATGGTGTTTGTTAATAATGGTCACCACCATATCTTACCTTGAATCATGATGCAGTAATTAGGTATGGTATTGTCATGTAGGTCTACACCTCCCGTATGATTATTATATTCAGAAATAACGTTGGGTTATGAAATCACTTCTTTTTTTTTCTTTGCGACAGTATCGTTTGGTATTTACAAGGGGCAAAATGCTACCGTTATTAGTAATAATTGTTACCACAGCATTGTCGTTCCATTTTATTGCACATGTTTCTGTATCCTTGTTGAATGCAAAACCGTAGGAGCCGCGATGTATTTTGTTTTCTTCCTGTTTTTGAGTCATCCAATTTACAACCAGCTATGCGATTTTTGCGAGTTCTTCCAGATGCAAAGAAGCCCTTTTCTTTCAAAATTCCGTATAAACTATGGGAAGAGAAAAAGTTATCAAAATGAATTTTGTGCGTCTTAGGTTTTGAAACAACATTAAGTATCTTCAACGATTGTTTCTAATGGCATATTTTGTTGATCAATGCTAGCTTCAGCACAATTAAACTCTAATAACAACAAAACTCTAAATATATAATAAAGCTTCAATAGAACTCTGAAACCTTACATAAAAAGTGGATTTTTAAATGTTGCCGATTTTTCATGCATTCGGCCAATGGTGCCTTAACGCACCACTAAATTTGAATTAAATAATTTTAATTTTCTTAAGATATTAGTTTTTTTTTAATTTTATTTTTTTAACTTACAACTTTAACCCATTATAAAAACATATGATAAATCTCAATTGGTTCCCACAGTGGACTGATCGTTAAGACACGGTTCCCAGCAGATTACCGAAGTCAAGTCAAGCATGGTTGCGGTCAGTGTGCGGGTGGGTGACTACTTGGATCAGTCTGCTTAGGGACCGAGGGTGTGCGGTATTGGTCCTCGTTAAACTGTGCTACCGTAAAGTGCTCGACTTCTCGTGCAGGTCGTTGGGCTACCGAAGCGGGGAGCCATCCCCTCTGCAGAGGATGAAAATTGTGATGGCATGTCTTCGGATCATCCTCAGGGATGCTTCCCAGACCGTCGTCAATAGCCCATTGTGCAGCTCTAGTGTGACGTAAATGAACTACCAGGTACCCTAGCATAGAATCGAGTTAGCGTGTCTCATACACTAAGGAATTAAAATTGTATTTTTGCAGTGGTAGATACCAGAGTTTGCCGTTGATTACAGTAATTGATTACAACTGTAATTGATTACAGATAATTACAGCTATGTAATCAATTACTNGAAAATTTTAGCATATATTTTGAAAAGAGGGGAGGGCCCATAAACGGCTGTGCCTAGGACCTACGAAAGGTATAATCCGGCTCTGTATGAAGTGTGTGGGCATTAAAAAAGCAATATCATAGCATCGGGGTAATGGTAAATCTGAATATAATAAAAGAAAACCATGAGGTCAAAATATTTCTTTACTTAAAAGTAACTGTCCCCTCATATGGCAGGGAAGGAAGCAGTCGCCATTTTTCTGATCTTCAGAAAGTCGATACTTCATCGAGATAATGAAGAATTTAATAAATAAATATTTTTATTTCTAAGCTCTTATGTTTGAAATAAAAACAAAACTCAATTGTTGAAATATGAGAGTATCATTTAATGAAGATATTTGATCGGAGTTATCGATGCAATTTCAATATCACATTAAATATTTTTAATAAAACATAAAAATTAATAAACTATTTCACCTAACAAGTTTCACTTGTAAAATCGTGGATATCAAGGATTAAGCTAAATTTTTATTCTGAATTTAAAAAATAATTGCACAAAATCAAATTTGCATCCAAGTTTTAGGAAAAAAGTTCATTGAAATTAATCTTATAAAGATTGTGATTCCTGGTTTAGAAAAAGAAAGGAAAATATTAGATGAGTTTTTTAAAATTTGAATTGACGAGTTTTTTTCTCAATTAATCTTTTTTTGAAATTTAAGTTAACAGGATTTTTAATTTTATTTTTTAAAACTTGCTATTAACACATTTTTGTATGAGTAAACATTTTAGAGTTTCCCTAAATTTAAAAAATACATAAATACACTTCATATTTTTGAATTTGTATGTTTTAACTGGTTGTATAATATTTAGTAGAAAAAATTATTATGGTTTTAATAATTAGTTGAACTTACACATTAATAAAGAATTTTTCTAAACGCATGGGTTGGCAGGTACTTCATTTACATCGCACTAGAGCTGCACAATAGGCCATTGGCGAAGATCTGGGAAACATCCCCAAGGATGATCCGAAGACATGCCATCGCAATTTTGATCCTTTGCAGAGGGGATGGCTCCCCTGCTTTGGAAGCCCGACGACCTGTGCGCGAAGCCGAGCATGTTATGGTAGGACAGTTTAACAAAGACTGATACCGCGCGACCTCGGTTCCTACGCAGGTCGATCAAAGTGGTCACCCTCCCACTTACTGACCGCAGCCAGTGAAGCTTTCATTCGGTGTGCTACTGGTTTTTCTTTACGATCAGTCCACTGCATTCTCAAAATCAAAGATACATAGAAAAAAAACTGAATGTATAATTATTTTTTTAAAAATTAAAAAAATTTATTACAGTGAAGTCACTAATTATTTTCATTGTAATGCTATTAGTATCAAAGAGCATTACAATAAAAATAAGCATAGTCGAACTTACTTGCCTGATTTAGCAAGCACTATTTTTGTGATTAATAAAATTCCTATTATCTTTTAACTTAGCTAATCGCTTCTTGGAAAAATTCCTTGAACATTCCCTAAGGCAATTGAAAGTAAGTGATGAGACATAATCCAACAGAGACAATAAGATAGTAAAAAACAAATTAACCAACTTCTTTTGTACTATATCTTAAAATTTAGTAAATATTTATGAAATTTTCCCAAGCATTTGATTTATAACAAGCAAATATTGAAGTGCTTTATCACTCATTATAAGCATCGACTGCAGTGATCAAAAAGTACTGTTGAACAAATAATAGTACTGTTGAATAAATATGACAGGACATGACTGTTGAAAAAGTATCGTAATTTGTATTGTAAATCGTATTAGAACAATTTTCTACATTTAATAGTGGTTTTAGGACAACTCAATATGACAATCTCAGTGAGAGTAATTTGAAAAAGTATAGTTTGTCTAAAGTAAGAACTCCCCTAGCCATTCGTCAGGACCTGTGGCGGTGACTATGGTAACAAGGTATTACTATTTCAAGTAGGGTTATGTGGTCACTGTTTAGTGTAGGTTTATGCTTGGGTCAGCGAGAGAAAGGGAATCTTTTTCTTCGGTCTATTGTGCTATTCTTGTTTCCATTGCAGCACACGGCTTTAGACTTTGTGGCGGGGGGAGTTCTTACTGTAAACAAATTATATGCCCACTCCTCTCTACTCTATTGTTCTGAGTAATATGGAAACAAGAAAGCAATAAATATAAAATAAAAATCTTGAATGCACTATGGCATGATAAGCTTGTAATTTTAATAAAAAGACAAATTCAGGGCATTAATTTTTACTGTTCAACAATTTTAGAAGATACGATTACAAATTGTATTTTCCCACTCTCCTTACTGTTGAGATTTTTTTCCCTAGATTTTGACAATTTTTTATAACAGTTTTACAAATTGCTGCTGTTTTATTATTTAATTGGTTCTGGTACCAAACAAAATAGTACAGTGAAAAGTATACCATCATCACAAGAATATCATATACAGTGAATTCGCGATAACTCGAATCTGATAGGACTGACGAAAAACTTCGACATATCGGAAGTTCGACTTACCGTTAGTTTCGGTTTTGGACTTTCAAAATATTGTCGGATTATTTAATTAATGCTTATTAATTACAAATNATTGTTATTTAGTCAGTTGGTAGGCCCGACCTTTATATAATAAACCCTTGAATATTCTCTATTTCGTTTTATTAGCCAAACCTACACCAAGTATTAATTGTAATTTATGTTGTTACTGTTTAATATTTTTATTACCTGCCCTGCAGTGCACAAAAAAGAGCTTAAGTAACTTAGCATTTTTAAAGTATTTGGAAAAATTTCATATTTTTATTTGATAAAACCTAATCAGTTTACATAGCAGTGGGGCCCCAATTTTTAATTTGCCCCAGGGCCCTTAGCTACCTAGCTACGCCACTGCCTTAAACATCATAGTCTTATTTGGAAGACATTTAAAAAATAAACCGATTTCATCAATATTGAAAACATCATTTTAACTGTATCCTTGAAGTAAATTTGGTAACGTTTAATTTAACGACTGTTCACATACTTCAAGAGGGACAGCTTTACCTTCTCCATGAAGAGTGCGAATGACAGTGTGTGTTGCAAAAGAAGGGGCTCGTAAGTTTTTTTCCCTTGCATTAAAAGATCCAAAAAAAAATCGAGTTAAAGGGAGTAAAATTCGAGTAATCGAGAATAATTAACATGAAATTGAAGATAAACGGGTCGGGACCTCATAAAAAAATCGAGTTATAGTAATATTCGAGTTATGGCGAATTGACTGTAATTTTATAGAAGAATATCATTAAAAATCTAATCACACAATTAAATTTTTCAGACAAGTTTCATAAATATTCACACTGAACTTTATAAATGATACATAATTGTATGGAACATGCTCGTTTTAATAATAAAGTTCGTGAATAATTTATATAGTTCAAAATAACGAATACAGTAGGGAACCGATTATCCGGAGCGATCGGGACCATCGCTATTCCAGATAACTGATTTTTCCGGTTTTCTGAATCGCTACAAAAAGCCGTTTTTTTATTGTTAAACCCAACTAAAAAAAAAATAAATAATAATAATTGGAAATAATAAGGAACAAGGCTAAATCTTTTTCTGTTAGTCTACTTCTGAAATAATTTTTTCCAAGGTTCATAATTGAAAACTCTTGTTCACGTATATANAAAAATAATAATAATAATTGGAAATAATCTTAAAAAGAAGAAAAAACGATGAAGTAATACATTAATAATTATTTCCAAAATGATGGTAAGGTCATCTTTAAAAAAAGAAAGAACATCTTTAAAAAAAGAAAGAAAAATCATAAAATCTTATGAGGAAAAAAACATTTAAAAAAAAAATGGCGGGAAAATGTATGGAATTTCGTTCTGGTTTTTTGGTTTTCTGATTTCCGAATAACGGGTTCTGTACTGTACTTAATATCCTACTTAAAACTGAAACTTAAGTAAAGCCAACAGACTGAAACTATAAACAATAAAATTTTATTCAATAAATTTTTTGCTATTTACATTTTTTGTTTAAAAACTTTGTTTGAAATTCTTTCCACTGTTCAATATTACGCTTGTATTGAAAAATTTTGAACTTGTTAAAAATGACATTTCCTGTTTTGTGAGATCTGAGCTTTTCTTCATTTTTAGCTAATTCACTTGCAATAAAACTCTTTTGTTTCAGAGAGAGAAGAACCCAGACTCTTGCCAAAGTTAGGTTTCCATTTTCATCACAGGATATGGTTGTGGCAACTGGCTGTTAACATAAATAAAAAACACATCAACACTAAAAGAAATATATGACTATTTTTGTTAGATCTAATGAAGTTAAATTTACCCAGGAACAATTGCTATTTAAATGCTGTTGTCTTCTAGCATTCAAATGTAATGAAAGTAAATATAGTACGAAATAACAATATTTTTATTATACAGTTAAATCTCGTTTTAGTAAAATCCTAAATAGCGATAATTTCGATGTGACAAAATTTTCCGAATCCCCAAACGACTCTCCATAGATACAATGAGTGAAAATTACTGATATTACGAAATTCATAATCCGATTTAACGAAGGTGAAAATCAGCAACAATTCTCATTTTCTCTCAGGATCAAAACAGTTTTTCATTCTTCAAAAGTACACAATGATCTCAGAATTCAAATATTTTTGCATCTTTAAAATAAAAAGTTGCAGATATGAAGGGGACATGACAAAAAAGATGAATCAGTAGGAAGGGACCACCTAGAAACCACAACCCATTCATGTTTTGAAGAAGTAAAAATGCATGTGGCTTTCCAAAAGAGTGATTTCCTTGTTGTTTAAAAATGTGCATAATTTGGAGAAGTTTGTAATTTTAACTTGTTCAAAATCATTTGTACAGAAAAAGTTACGGAGGACGTAATTACTGAAAAATAATTTATAGTAAATCCATTCTTCCCTTTAATTTAATTTTTTTAAATTTTTTTTTTGGAGCTTTTAAAACATTGATTTGATATTTTCTACTTGTAGAGTACAAATAGATCAAAACTGCAATTAAATGCAAAATTTATTTATTTTTTATGCGGAAAATTTAAATGTAACAAAATAATTTTGGTTTATGTTAAAATTTGTAATGTTGGTATAACGAATATTCGTTATTGAGTAGCAATTGCTTGGTTGGCTAGGAAATTGCTAAAACGGGATTCGGCTATATTGGGATAATAATTGAAAGTGTGTTCTCTACATTACATAGAAAACACCATGTCTTACAATAAATATTGAGTATACAATAAATGGGTATTAATTATTGACTGCAATATTATTGAGAATTAGTTTAACTACTTATTTTTTTACAATTAAGATCAAAATTAGCGAAGGCAATTTAAAAGAAATTTTTTTTCTCCTTACTTGGGCTATGAAAATATTGGCTAATACAAAAAACAATGTGTAATATACATTCGTAAAAATGGAAAATTTTGTTTTATGCTATGAAGTATTAATATTTTTTGATAAGACACTGTAGTAGTGAAATTCTAAAAATCTTAACACTAATGCAAAGTCTACAAGAAATATGTTAATATTAACTTTCACAATTCGTAAAAATTTTAATCGATTTGTGCGGAATAATTATTTATAGGCCTCAATGTGAACTTTATTTAACATGACTTAAAAAAAAAGAATCTAAAAAACAATTTATAATTTTTTTCTCTCAATTCTTGAATCATTCTAAAAAGGAAAAACAATAAAATGAAAGAAAAATAATTTTCTTTTATTTAAAAAATAATTTGATAATTGGTGTGTTTTGGGAATACAAAAAACAAGACACTTTTAAGATTGAAAATTATTCTGCAGCAATAGAGGCTATTTGACATAGTGTTTACTATGTATATTTCTTTTAGAGATCCACAGTGATTCAGGACAGAGTGATGGAGGTTGGAACCCCATCTGTTAGACTAGTGACAGCTGATTGGTACAAAATGTACTTCCAGCTGGAATTGACCACAAACCTGGAATAAAATATCAGTGGTAAATGGAACAAAATTAGAATCCCCTGGCTGGTCGAGCTAACTATACAAAGTTTTCCATCAAAAAAATCTTCCATGTTGGTAGCATGTCCCAGTATTTGATCCAGAAGTTTCCTTGTCTTCTTGGTTGAGTTCAAATTGCTAGGCTACAGAGTAAAATATTGATAGTCGTATGTCCAAAAAGCTGTTCAATGCCGATTGTAAAATTAAAACATTTTTTTATAGAAAATATTTATGAATATTTTAGTATTAAGCAATAATATGAAATTTTAAAAAAAAACTTACAAATTTCGCTATGTTAAAGTAAGTATAAATGAAATATAGTTTAAATATAAAACAAAAATATTTTTTTTTATAATTAAAAATTGACCACAAAGAATTGATTTTAGTAAGGTATACCTGTAAGCACTGGGCTAATTTGTCTTTGCTCTTTTCTCCAATGGTATCACTTTTGAAGAATGAAGTTATCACAAAACAGCCTTGTACATGACATGCTAAAGAAGCAAGAACTTGTGGTTTCACATCTAACAAGCTGTTCACCAGCTGCAAATAAATAAATCGCAATATTCTTAAAACATTGGATAAAATAAAGTACAACTTTTGCTTTAAAATTTGAAAATCATAAATCTCTAACTTCGATTCGATGAAATTTTCTCTACAACAATTTTTTTCAACCTTATGTAAAGTCTACTGAATGTATGACTTATTATTGCAGTGTTTACAAGGTATTAAAATAATAATATTGAACGGTTGCTGCTATAACGCGTGCCTGCATGATATACTTTATGTATTCGTCAGTTTTTTAAGGTTATACATTTATTAATTTTAAGATTTTTCAAACAGAATAATTAACTTTTTGAATCATATTATTTTTATTGAAATTTAATTTATTCATTCTTTTCATGTGAAATGTTAATCATATCTTGGATTTGGTTAATTTTTTTGGAGATAGCATTTATGGAAACACATTCTAGGTTTAAATTATAGTTCCTCTTCATGCAGTTTTTTAAATAATTTTACAATATTTATGCTCTTTATGTGAGTTTGATAGGGGTACTTCAATTATAGGTAAAATATTATATAACATCTCTGCAAAAGATGAGTGCATATTGCATAATTAAATTATATGATATGTATCTAACAGGGTTCTCACTCAATTTAAAAAAAAAAATTCCCTGACTTTTCCAGGTATACTAGGTAAATGTCAATGAAAATTGAGACCATATTTTCATTAGAAAACTTTGATTCTCTCACTTATAATGTGAAATATTAGATTTTCTGTGTAAGAAAATATTATTAAATAAGGAAGGGAACATTTCAGATTGACTAAAATGAGAAATTTGTACAACAATTAATTGTAATAGTAGTTAAAATAATTTAACTCAAATCTCAATAACTGTTACTGACAATTTTAAGACTGGTTATTTTCCAGGTATGATATAGGAATGTTACAGGTTTTTGCAAAAAAATGCAACATTCCCTGACTTTTGGAGTTAAAATAAAATTCCTTGGCAACTTCAGGTTTTCCTTGACTCGTGGGAAGCCTGATTTAATGAATTTATCGTAAAAATGTATTTCATAACGTCATTTCAAGCAATATTGTATATAACTAATGAATTTATTTCTCAAAATTGGTTCTTAACACCATTACCGGTAAAAGTGTACCTTTTAATAGTGTTACAACTACAGCATGCAAATAATTGACACTGACATATTTTGAGCAAAACAAATAAGTTTAAGGCTTTCTTACTTTTATAGGCTTCTGAAAAGTTAGAAGATTTTGAATAAGCAAAGATCCATGCAAACGTATGGTGAGTTTTGAAGTCTTAATGTATTCTGATTCCTCATATTTGTTGAGACCGAGAAGTAAAGGCACCAATTTTAATTGCTTTTCAGGTGGCTCATTACATTGTAAGCAAAGCATTATATTCTAAATAGAAAAACAAGAAGAAAGTTTTTTTTTAACTAAACTTTGCATGAAATTGTAATTAGAAAACATGTTCATTTTTAATGCAGGACAAATTAAAATAGCAAACAAGAAATGCAGTAATNCTGACTTTTGGAGTTAAAATAAAATTCCTTGGCAACTTCAGGTTTTCCTTGACTCGTGGGAAGCCTGATTTAATGAATTTATCGTAAAAATGTATTTCATAACGTCATTTCAAGCAATATTGTATATAACTAATGAATTTATTTCTCAAAATTGGTTCTTAACACCATTACTAGTAAAACTGTACCTTTTAATAGTGCTACAACTACAGCATGCAAATAATTGACACTGACATATTTTGAGCAAAACAAATAAGCTTAGGGCTTTCTTACTTTTATAGGCTTCTGAAAAGTTAGAAGATTTTGAATAAGCAAAGATCCATGCAAACGTATGGTGAGTTTTGAAGTCTTAATGTATTCAGATTCCTCATATTTGTTGAGACCGAGAAGTAAAGGCACCAATTTTAATTGCTTTTCAGGTGGCTCATTACATTGTAAGCAAAGCATTATATTCTAAACAGAAAAACAAGAAGAAAGTTTTTTAACTCAACTTTGCATGAAACTGTAATTAGAAAACATGTTCAATTTTAATGCAGGACAAATTAAAATAGCAAACAAGAAATGCAACAATAGTTTTGAAAAAAAAAAGTTGAATTTAAAAATATTGAGAAAACATGGAAAATAATAAAGATCAATAATAAGGGAAAAAGAAAAGATGTAATTACTGCATCAGCTCACACAATCATGTCCGCAAAAGGAGTGCTTTCTAATATTGTATCAATATAGCCAAAGCAAAATACATCAATACATGAGTGTGAAGAGCAGTAAAAAAAAAATTGAAACAAAATAGAACACATTAAGTAAAAAATATATCATGCAAAAAATAGAAAATAAAATTAAAAGAAAAAATAGAACAAAACAAAATCTATAAAGCAAGTAGTGAATTCAAATCTCTCTCTCTCTCTCTATATATATATATAAATAAACTAAAACATGTTATAATTATTGAAACCTCAATTGGACTAATTTCTTATCAAAAGTCAATTTAAAGACATAAAACTGTAAGTTGGTTTAATATTTTTTAACCAGAACTTTAAGAGTTTCAAAGCAACTAAACATTTGTTTTTTAAAAAAATAATAATTAGTGAGCAATTTATTAGTGAAACATTTTAAAATTCTGTACAGATTGAACAGTTAATTGAATAAAATTATACTAAATTAATGATGCAAAGGGCTCAAATTTTTAAAGCAATTAATCTTCATCAGATAAGATTTGATTTCATCTTCTAAAATTATTTAATAAGTATATAGCCCTTGATTAACCTTAAACGAAATTCATGATAGGATAATTTTATTCACAATTTTTTTTTCTTTATTCAAGAACCCTAAAATTTCTGTAACAACAAATTTAGAAAAATTTATAAAATCCTTTAATCATAGTAGTATAATTTTTGTGAAAGTTTCTGTAGTTCAACCAATCAATTTTTTAGAATTGATGGGAATAAGGGACAGAAAACAAACAGAATTTTGTGAATTTCCATAAAAGTTGCCTGCATGATAAATAATATAAACATAATATATCAGTTTCTCAATCTTGTCACAAAAATCAGGTAAGGTATTATAAAACTTATAGGAAAATGTCTTTTTTAAATGGGATGAATTGAAAGAACATGCTTGGAGCAATTTTTTAGATGAATTATTTTCTTGAAATATAGGAAATTAGCTTGATATGTTGCCCAAAGTTTATAATTAAATAATATAAATATACAAAATAAAACTAATTAAATAATATTATGCTTTACAAGAAAAATTTAAAAAAAAAAGTTCAAATTTCAGAGCTAAAAATCATCAGTGTACTTTAATCTTAAAATTTCAAGGTTCTAAATCTTCTTATAACACTGATTCAATGAAACTATGGCAAAAATTAGTAAACTATATTTTGGCAAAAATTAGTAAAAATATTGATTAAACCTTTGTATGACTATTTCATAAACAACATAAAATTATAAAACAAAAAATATTACCCCCCCCCCCC